GAAGACATGTTTTGTATATGGATTGACATCATGGATGTCCATCTACTTCTTCCGTCATCTATAGCCATTGCCAAAGCAAAGAATATTGCATCAAGATTATTAACTTCAAAAATTGATTATAAGTCATCTTGTCAATGGTTGTACCCATGTGAAGTGCGTCAAGATCTCTAAAAGATGCTACTTCACGAAGAGTGAGCTGAAATCAAGAAATTTGATATTGTGTTGTTGGCAACTTTAGACAAACTCCACACAATCAAAGCTCAATATGATACTTAAAACATCTATAATATGGACATGATAGATTTATTTATTCATCTAAATAAATATATCAACAACTAGAGAGAAAAAAAAATCCAAGTATCAAACTTCTCTTATCGTCTTTGCAAGCACTATGGAAACTCACATAATACCCTGCACATTGATTGATAAACCCAAAATATTGATATTAAAAATTGTCAATGACATGTTCCATATATAAGTCAAATGAAAGCTTGGATGTATATTCAAACATGCTGACAAATGGTTCAACAAATTATTTTTTCTAGAGATGGAAAAAAAACCTAACATCAGATTTTTTTGCTCATGGACAATGCCTCAAATGATTAAGTCTTCTAAACGCAAAAATGTTGGTTGCGTCTTCTTTCTTGCAAATTGCACAAGTTGGAAATAGCCTTGCGATATGAACAGAATCACATCTCCGAAGAAGAGGATCAAAGATCTCTATATCAAGTATGTTCTTGACTTTTATGAACTGAATGAGGAGACAAAACTTCAACTAAGAATGCAGGAACAGAGATTGAAATGTGGTGCAGTTGGAGTTGCATACAAATTTCCAACTCACTTGTTTGATATTGTAAGTTATGTCAAAGAAGCTTGGCAATCAGTGTCACCAAGCTTTATCAAATAAATGTCTTTGTTGTGGTAGAAATAATGACATTGGAAGCCGATCAGGAAGCAGTGAACAAGATGAAAGATTTGATGAGCAAAGTTACACAAGCTATTGCAGCTTTCAATCTTTTGGTTGAACCAGAAGAACTTGAAAATCTTGTTCATGTTGACAATGTAAACAATAAAGTATTTTATAGCTAAAATTTTGGACAATGTTTAATAACTTTTGGAGATTATGAATATTGCAGAAAATAATATGTATGAGAAAAATGATGATGACCTTCTTGATTCTCAAGATCCAGATTCGGATCTATGAAACAACTTTGTATTTAAGGAATTTGAGTCATTTTATAAGCAAGTTGTTGATATAAAGTATTAGTTGCTATATTCACAAGTTCAAAAAGAGTCAAAGAAACAAATTGATGATCTTAGATAGTTGTTTAAATCATTTTATAGCACGGTATGGGCTGTCACTTTGAAAGCAAACGCAACGAACTTCAAAACTTGCAAGAAATGATAATTCATGACATGTTGAACTAAATAAACTTGAGTAGTGTTTTTTTGAAATAAGTACGGGAAGGTACTCCTAGTGTATTCTACCAAGTTAGCATCCCCATCAACAAGTAGTATAACAACTGCGGATATTTCAAATAATGCACAGTTGAAAATGGGATCTATTCAAGTCAATAGAAACACTCAAAAGCAACATTTTCATAAGTAAGTAATTCTTTGTTTCAAAATTTTAACTCGCCATTGCAATGTACATTTGTGTTTTCTCTTGTAATACATGAGAAACAGATTAAACTCAAGCTTGTTCTAGAGTTTGTCATAAATAAAAGCTTTTATATATTTATTTCAGAATAAATATGATACAAGTATACAGAGGTCAACATTTTACTTCAAGTTTCTATCAGACCATAATCATCAACAGCGAACTGTGCCCACCCATAGCAATACCTATTCCCACCCGTGCTATTCAAGTTAGGGCAATTGTGTTAGATGTATTAGCCTCGTACACCACTTCTTGTTTGAATCAAACAAACAATGCCCATAGCATTACTTGTGTCCACCCATGGAAAAATAATGTCACCTCAAAACCCATGTGCATGGGTGAGGCAAGTGCACCCAATGTTGGGAGTACACGCCTCTAGGACTTATAGTAAGCGCGTTCCGCTTAGAAAATCTAGCATATAACAACAAGATGCTGCCCATGCACTGAAAACTCTGTAACGAATGTGATATTGATTATCCCATCCAAGTCCATGTCTTACCCACATGAGCTTTGTCTAACTAGGGTCAATACCAAACTCCAACATTCAGTACCAATACGTTTAATAGTGATTTAGCTCACCTCAAAATAGTCTAAAAACTTATAAATTCAGTTTATGAGAATGAATGTAATAAGAATATGGTCCATTCGTGTAACCGAAGGGTTACTTGCGGTTAATTGATTTACCGTAACTAGAGTCGCTAGCTGGTAGTGTTATTCTGGTAATAATAAGCATGAATGTACATATTCTAGATGTCGCCAATTGTGTGAAATTCAATAGAAAACTTGAGTTAGATTTTTAACTCCAGCAATTTCTCAGACAGATATGAGCAATTATATCAATAAAGAAGGAATTTAATTGATATTTTTTCTTTGCTGTAAAAATTAATCGTCACATGTATAAGCTAGCCCAGAAGACTTAGCTATTGTATACTTTGTATTATTTTCAATATCCCAGTCGGAAATTCTAAACATTAGCGGCGCGATTTTAATTCCACCTCGCAGAAGCTGCACTCGATGGACTCAAGATAGCATGAGCTAGCGATTCAAGGTCAAGCTATGGTAGTACATGAAAGTACACAGAATAAATTGGCTCACATGCACGGGAACTGACATGATTGGATTTATAACAAGCACACGGTTCTCCTCACAGCATCATCTGATTTGCTGCTTTACTTCTGATTCTTCCGTAGCATTGATGTCTACGTGACAACGTTTGCAACGGGACTTGGAAGGAGAAAACTTGTCACAAGTATCAACATTGGGCTTGCAAGCAAAAACATCAGATAAGGGACAAGTAATGTAGAAAAAAACTTTATAGATCCAACAAGTCGTACAGTGATGAATGCAAAGGGGTGGGATTTTATAAATAACATCAATTCAAGGGTATCTTTTGGGAAAATGAGTCTTCCCAAGCATCGAAAACCGCGGGCATTATATAACTTGGAACTGATGGTCTAGAAGTCGTGCAACCCAAACAGGTTTTGTCCAGATCCTAGTCATGAGCAAGAAAATTTGAGCCTGTGATGTGAATACTCGAGGAGGTGACACGCTCTATCTCTCTTGGGAGTTGACCCAAAATCTAGGCCACATTCTATACAAATGATGTGCAAGAGGAGATTCTTTCTGATAGAATTGTGCGAGGGGATGCTTCATGCGTGGGTATTTGAACCAACATTGGGTTCTCAGAGCTTGTGTTGACAACACAAGCTCTGCGTCATAAAAGCATCAAAGTCCGAATGATTGCATTATTGTTACATGAGCCCGATGTCCAAAGAATACTTGAAACAAGCCTTGATCAAATTAGAAGGATTTAGATTTCTCTCCTGATAGATATTGACACGTTGACCATTCTCCATGACTGTAATTTAAATTGCAATTTTATGATGCTCAAGAAATTCCAGTTTAAATGAGGTATCATGGACGTCCTATGTTCGAGGGACATACAAAGCATTTCTAATATTGATATACAATACAGTGGAGTCAAATTTCTTGCTTTCCTTCCACCCAGTTCACCTCACATGAACATATTGAACTTTTAATACCTTCTTCAGAGTCAATCATGGATTAGGAAATATACAAATCGAAAGACTATATATTTCCTATCATCCGAGAATGCAGTCCAACAAGAGTGGATTATAAGGAGAATTTTCAGGTTTTTTTGCACCAAGTTTCTAACACAGCTCGAAGCTATGCAGTTCCATTTCTGGGCATGGTCACTAATTCATTTTGTTTCACAACAATGATTCTCAATTCTTTTTCTCTTACTTTATTGTGTTCCCGTTGTTGTAGCTTTTTCTGAAAAGAGCATCATTAGCAGTTTGTAGTCTATCTATACGATCAGATTACACAACGAATTACATGCCCAACGAAAAAAATCCTCCATTGGGAACAGTCCAGACATGCTGAAGATGTTTAAGGCTTAGGGTGATGCATTAAGTTGATCGTATTCATGTGTATGATTTTTCAGTATAATTATTTTGAAAGTCCTTGTCATTTATAGAATGTAGTCATGGCCTCAGATTTCACTTTTGCACAGTGTTGATTTTGGGGAATAATCTACAAGAAAATATTTTAACGAACTTTGGATGTGTATCTCATCCAAATGTATTCAAATCAATTTCTGCATTTGTTGCCAAATTTCATTTGACTTAAGTTCCATCCACGATATAATGTCTTGTGGCTGCGGGTCATGTATTCCCAAGACCTTAAATTCTTGATGCTTCACGTCTCCTTGACAATGTAGAGGTATATTCGACATTTTTCTTGAAGACTTGTCGCCATCGTCAGTAGCGACTAACCTCAACTCTTGTTTCTTGTGTCAATTCCCGTATGACGGCAAATGTACCGTAAATACAATTTCTATAGGTCATCCTCATTCTCGCGGTAAGTAGCAGCTTCTCTTCTCAATTGAATTAATTTAACATGTCCCGATGAATAGCTTGAAAATCTGTTGTCGTATTATTTCATACACAGCACGGCACCTTTATCTATTGTCTTGGTGTATGCAATTTATGTGTGGAAGATACACTCACCGGATGTACATGTTCATATTGTTCATGTGAGGTAAGAGTCAAGAATGAATATGAGACTTAATCATGAGGAATAAGATGGCCCGGAAGGCCTACGTGTCTCCAGACTTTGACAAGGCAAGGACAGAATTGCGAAATACTCCGATGGAGAGAAAGGTTCCTCCTTCACACATTCAAGGGAGTCCCGATCTAGCTCAGTTGAGGATTTCTTTGATAAAATCTCCAAGATAAGATTGACTACTGGTTGAGAACTTCCACACATACAAACTAGCGGTAGTGAACCTGATTGCATGAGTTTATATCAACAGTAACTCCGGCCACTCTTGAGCAGAAAGCAACATGTTCACCACTACATACATTCAGACGTCTGAGTGTACGTAGTGTAGCCTTAAGATGGAATCTCATGCCGGCTGAGCAGACTTCTGCCGTAGTAGGCACTACTTGACATTTAGAACCGTTCGCTCTACAATTTCCGAACACTCAGCAGTGACTTGGCATAAAAGAACGCTGCCCTTCTCCAACGTTCACTTTCTGTTCCAGTCGCTTGTGCATCGACTACGCGTGTAAATAAGAAAGATGTTTCTTCTCAGAGCTCTAAGTAGCTTTCAATCTCGTTGTGCAACACTTGCACATTTGAGCACCCTAAGTTAACCCTGCTGCACACGGGAAGTGATCACTTGAAGAACTTCTGTCGAAGTTTTGTAAATTACAGTAGGCTGTGTAAGATTTCAGAAGTTTTAATCTTGGATATTACAACCACAGGTCGATTATCGTCTTGGCCACCTTTCCCCCACTCTCCTCAACTAATGAGAGTTAGAAGTAAACGATCCACGTGTGCTGCGTTTGACAGGGGTCCCATCAGATAATTTTCTGTCTTTGCTAAATAACTTTCTGATATTCTGGAATAAGACTCAATGGTGGGTTTGTCTTCGTTACGTCAGCATTGTGCTTAGCCTACTCCATTATACTACATGCAGCTTCAAGTCGTTTCGTCAAATCTGGCTTTCGTGCGAAAGTATCGTTGATATGTTTATTCCCTAAAACTTCCGGGACTCCTTGATACACTAGGATAAACTAAGATGACCTAGAAACGTAGGGAGAACGAATGAGTTCATTTCAGATAAGGCGTCAGAATACCAATGCTTCCGGAAATTTGGGTTTGACTCGATTAGCTCGACATTCGCATACTCGAAATGATCCGTGCTTTTGCTTCCACATTTTAGACTAGGTTCCGCTAATTTTCAGAAGGCAACTCCATCGACAAGGGCGCTTACTTACTTCTTGTCATGGAAAGGAACCTCATGAAGGTCGAACTACGCCTTTGAACACAGCAGACGCCGAACCGAAGATAGATTAATGCTAGGACCATATAGGTGGTAAGGGAGCACCTCCTCCCTTCATCATCCTCAACTTAACTATTCACTGGCTTGACATGGTATTGCAGATGAGTTTATCGCCAAGATGATAACTGGGTGGAGTTGATTTACCCGTGCATACCTGGTTTTGGGTTGCAGCCGGGTTGACGCTGTTAGAGTTGTATGTCGTTCGCAGAATAAGGAGTGCCCATCATAATCCTCCACCATTTGAAACATTGTGCATTGTCTTACAAGCAATTGCACACTTCACATGCAAGTACTTATACGGAGCATAGTTCCACCAGGATTGTAGCAGTGCGCCAAGTGCCAAATCTTAGGATAGAAAGTGCATATCACTCACAAACGTAGGCTATGAACAAGAAATCCAACATATCCAAAGAACGAGAATATACTTGATCTACCTCTAACGAAGTAGCCAAAGTATGATGTGCAAGTACCTTGACTCCTGAGGGACAAGACTCACTCCCTGCTTTTTCACCAGATCATTCATTTCACTTTCATAATGACAGAGGGAAGGGAATCCATTACCAAAAGAAAAACAAAAAACCAAAAAAATAACTTAAATGCATACGCTGGCCATACCCAGAGGAAGTCCTTTACCTGTACAAACGCATCGTTCATACATCTGAAAGTGAATGACATTTTTACCAAAATAAAACTAGCGATGTCCTTGAGGTAGATATAGATCCGCTCATGACGAAAGTGCCAGCAGCAATCAATGAACAAACCTGAAATCCAAGGGCATTTCCGAGGGCTATCCCGGGCGCGACAGCATAGTGGACGTCCAATCTCTGGTTCGGGCCTTCGAATAGGTTCTCTAACTTCAGACTAAAGAGCAGCGGACTCTTGCTAAGAGCAAAAATAAAAGCCTTCTAAGGCGTTCTAAGATATACACTACCACCTGTGCCAAGTGACCAGCTCCTTTCTCCATGAGGGATGAAATACTCACCACGTCAACTCCACAACAAACCTGGCCGGATACTCACCTATCTCTGCAATTCCAGGGCCCACGACACCGGAAAGCTTACCCTCCAAATACCTTCTTTGATGAAGAAAAGTAAGCACTACTACTAACATCACAAGCCCAATGACAGTTCAGCTAAAAACGACCACACTAACCTCATTTCGGAATCAAAAATTCCGTAATCCAAGTAGCTGGATAATATATCAGTTCAACAATATGCTGCCATGAAAATTCCTGAAAGACCGCCAACTCAGCGAAGTGATAAAGAAAACATAGTTTCGACTAGCTCAAGCAACATAAGTCATGCGAACTAGGACGCAGTGTGCTGGAAAAGCATTTACAACTTACCTCTCTCTGTCCCTCTCTCGAGAATGAGAACGCTCAATACGGTCTCTGTCACGATCCCCACGATCTCTTTCGCGTTCTCTGTCATGGTATCGATCTCTCTCCCGTTCACGACCTCCTCGGTCCCTATCACGCTCTCGATCGCGGCCTCCCCTATCACCACGATCTCTTCCCCTGTCAACATGTCGATCATAATCTCTGTCTCGATCACGCTCACGATCGCCCCCTCCCCTCTCTTTCTCCCTGTCTCCACGTTCCCTGTCTCTGTCCCTATCACGGTCATGGTCACGATCGCGCTTCTCCGGCTCTCTGCAATCACCACAGCCCAGATGAAGAGTTGAGATTGAAAACTAGAACAAAAGACATGGGGAAGAACGAACGGACTCACCCGTCTTGTTGGGGGACACGCTTACTGGACCAGATACCGAATGCTTTTGCTGTAGAAAGGAATGAGGTGGTTTAATCTCGCACCTTTCTTCATGAACTCGTTCAGGCTCTCGCGGCTTCGGCTCTTCAGATCTTCCCGCGGGAGCCGCTGTGATAACTTGTGGTTCACTGGATCAGACAAGAGACAACGTGTCAGATATATTGCAACTCCCGTCCTTCAATCAAAGGACTAGCATACAAGGCAATCAACGCCTCTAGTACGCACGTACCGTCCGGAAAATTTCTGATTCACTTCGTCACCTCCAACACGCGTTGATCCTAGACCTCCACCGAGTCTGCGAGGTCTCCAGTTCGGAACAGTTCGACCTCGTTCAACATCAACAAGAACACGTCGATTGTCGATCTTCCGACCATCTGCTTGCTTATAGGCAGCTGAAGAACATCAATGTAGATATCACTTAAATCAGGATTCAAAGACCTCAGTCGCCTTGTATGACAACGTGTAAATGCTACCGACCACGTGATTACACTTCTTGCGGTTTGATAAGAGCACAACATGACCATCGACCTGAGCATCGAGCATTTAGTAGAATGCAATGACTGGAAAGAGAGGAAGTGACCGTAATGCTGTAACAAAACTAGTGGGGACATTCATAGCCGTGGAAAGGCATCAAGTCAGATTTAGGTCTCCGGCACTTCCACAAACGTGTCCGTTTCCGATCGTACGTACTCTTCATATCGCGGGTGTGTTGATACTCAATGAAAGCGTAACCGCGAGGCTTCCCGCTAAGCTTGTCGTTGACTAGACGAACCTGAGATCAATATGTGCAAACTCAGATCAGGTAAGAGGCTAAAGGCTTTTGGCCAAAGACAAACATTGCCTTAGCCAATATTGACTTATCAGACACCAAAACCCTCACCACACGTCAGTTACAATTGGTGGCATCCAAAATGAACACATCACGAACGCATAGCTTGCTTTACGTTAAGGCATCTTCGCTAAAGAAGCACGGCAGACAGGGGCACTGAGCCTCGCTGACCGTGCTCACCTTCGAGACGTACGACTGCACCACGCAAGCTCAATAGCAGATCGCAGCGCCCTTATAGCGATGATGCTGGCAGACAATCCCCAGGCAGATTGCCGACTTACCCATGATTAACGTACTTCTCCCCCTTACCAAGGATAATTAAGCAAGAAACTATAAGGAAAGCTATGATCCAAATTGCATCAGTTACTCCTTTAATTAGTTCTTTGCTTACAACATACCGCTAAGCCAACAACTACGATGGCAACACACCAATACTCGACTACATTACTCGACTCAGACAAGGGCGATTGTCCACCTGTAGCAAAACTCCTTAGACTTCCAGTCAAGATTTCGGACAAGCTCAAAAGTTGATCCAAGATTATGCTCGTAACAAGCTGAAGGTAATATTTTAAATATAAAAAACCGTGAAAATCAAAAGAATCGGACTCTACACTGTGCAAAAGTAGGTAGGCTTGAACTGGACATAAAAAATCTCCAAGAGAGAGGATTCATCACTGCAAATGAAAAGCCGAGGATAGTAAACTTGCCAGTAACAAACCTATGAAAGCAGTAACGTTGTAATACAGAGCTCACACAACTATCTGAAGATAAACCACAGCAGTATTCAGCCTACACATCAGTGCATATGAACCTTTGGCAGCCTTTTTGCTTTGGCACTCGCCACGAGTGCGAAACAATTACTTCTTACCGAGAGCAGTAATGAGTCATAAACACCTTGAAAACCAACCAATCGACCTACCCGTTTTATTGGACCATAAGCCTCAAACTCTCTCTTGATTTTGTGCTCCGTCGTCTCGTAACTCTGCATAATGTGTAAGTGGAGCTCAGCGTAGATCGAACACAGTGAAACGCACAAAATACGTACCGCCCACAACCAGAAGGATAATCCGCGGATCGTGCAAGCTTAACAACATAAGCCAACGAGCGTCAGTGTACAAAAAGACAAGTAAATCCTGCTAGTCAGAACAAACACTCTGAAACTTCCTAAGCAGGTTTGAGATACTTACAACTCGCGCTACGAATAAAGTCTTATAAGGATCACCTTCAACATTGACATCATTTTGCGGATCATCTGCAATTCGACAGAAAAGGTCAACATAATTTAGCCTCTTTACCCAACAAAGATAATTAGAGCATATACAGTATAAGACTTAAGAAAGGACCTCTTCCACTAATGTAACAGACAGAAACTGCTGTCTCTACCCAAACTACGGTAGTTGGACAATTTAGATCATATTCTTACATTTCTCCAGTTCCGAAGCAGCCTTTTCAGCTCCTTTCTCCAGTCTTAAGAGATGAATCCTCGCTCTACGTTGGGCCTGTGAACACAAAGCCCCGTGTCAAAATTTTGTTCCATGATGGGCGGGACGAGAGCGTAAAATTAGTAACCACGCACATAGACTATAAACACGCACGTACACACCAGAGTCAATTCCAGTTCAGACTGATGATCGGGCACTTACCGGTGTTTCTCCTTTAGTAACAGGAGGTGCATACTCGGGCTCCCCAGGCTCTGCAAACTGGCTGACGAATTGCCCAATCCCTGAAGGTCTCAACCAGAAGATCGAGAATAAAGGACAGTTATAATCTTCTAAAGAACAGTGAACACCAAGCGTGTGTACATATCCTAACCCCCATCTTCATGAGATAATTTCTAAAGGACAGAATAGTTGAAATCTCGCAATGTACATGCGATCAGATCGCTGAAGAATTTGGAAACAGTTAAAATAGGACCCACTTCCCACCTGCATAAGGAGGGCATTTCCGCTTTTCTGGAGGTGGTTTGTACTCGAGGGGTGGGCGGGGTTCGAAAAGTTTCAAAAGGTTTGCAGTTAAACCTGTGGGATGGCTCTGCCCAATCTGCAGCCGGTTAAATATCAAAGATCGGTCAATATCGAGGTTAAATCACATTGACAATTAAAACGACAAATGAAAAGTTTCAACCCAAAGCCGAGGGCAATGCTGCCGAATTCGAGGCTCTAAGCTGGCTACATTCACTATCAGGACGGCACAAGATACACGTACATGTGAGGCGACCAGATAAAATTACCAGAAACAGAGTTCATAGGACATGCATTCTCTGTGTGCAACCTAACAAAACTAGCCATTACAATTCTCCGAGTTAAGCAAGGTCAAAGAATGCTCTCAGAGCGTTCTCAGCAACAAACACTTGGTCGAGGACAAACCAGCTTCAGTTGCTGCACGGTCGCACGATTCTGCGCCTTCGTACGCCCAGGCGGACCTGCTCCATCTTTCCGCATGTACACATCGCCATAATCCCCCATTGCGACCAAAGCTTGTGAATCGACGAAAGACGGGCAGAAAAGATTTGTCAGGCTGCTCAGCTCTTACTACCTGTAACCTTCGCACATGTTCGCCGCGTTTCAATGCAGGAAATCCTCCAGTCTTCGTAGAGGGCAATTCAACTTTACTCCAACCCCACTTAAAATTAAAGCTCTCACTTATTTCTCGTGATCACTATCCAGACGAACCAATCAAGAGCAAGGTCACAACAATCGCGCAGGAGAAGGGCAATCACAGTTGAGAAAACCAAAATGTCGTCCGAAAGCAAACTCTTGTTCTTCCAGACAAACACGAAATACTGAAATTCGACTTCCCACATTCCAAAAAAAAGAATTTCGATTGTCGACCGCGATTACACGCATTCTTAAAATGTACCTCTTCCGTGTGCTCGGTGTTCCCTTCGCTCTTCCCGCGCCCTCCTGCGAGGGATTTAGGGTTCTTCCCTTCTGTCAACTACAACAGGCTGTAAAAGGGTCGCCCGAGCTCGAGCCCTATGACACGATAAAGCGGAAGATAATACGCTCACTGTCCGCGCATTGGCGCCGGCCATACTCGATGATGTATTTTCGTACCGCGCATTTCCCTTTCTCCAATATTTAAGTTTCCTCGGGCCACGCTTTTTCAGCTGGTTTCTATAAACTATTGTCCCCTTGACGAACGACGTGGTATCATCCAGAAAAGTCAAATAATGACGGTTTGATGAATGAAAACGGTGGAGTTGTGGAGCAATGAAAAGTCTGGGATTTCTTTAGTTTGGTATTTTTCGAAGCTACGAACACATAATTCCACGTGATTTTACACTGTTGTGCAATAGCCTGTTTTGAGAGAGAATTATTATTATTCTTATGTTCTTAGGTAACAGACTTTGGCAAGACTTATTTCATTGATATGTATACAAGTCTTTGAATCTTATATTCAAAATCATTCATGTCAGTCGGTACTTTCATAGATCCTAATATACAAAGTCTGGATGGATTGGTTCATATCCAGGCCTGCTTAATGAGATCGTATACCGCGAGAACTACATTACGTAAACTAGACTACTCGGGAGCGACTATTTATCCTAGTCTTCACTTGTACGTGGGATTTACGTGGTTGGTTATTTGATAGTAATGGGAGGTAGTCTATAGCTTCTAAACGTGAAAATGATTTCCCCTTGGGTATAAAACATACTACCCTTCACTTAAAGCATGGGAGTTGCATGGTTTGTTATTGAAAGGGATGGGAGATGGGAGATAGTCAGCCGTTTATAGTTTTTGGCGCCTGAATTAGCTAAAATAATTCTGGTGATCCCCTAGGGCACCATGGCCATACCCCCATTAGATTGCTCTCGTCCCTATTTCAATGTCAAAAAACAATAGCAGCTCTGCCTACATCAAGACCAATGATGCTAAATGTCATATCTAGAATTCTCAATGCTTGTAGACAGAGCTTTCGCTTGCAGCATCGATACTCGGCGACACGAATAGATGTTCATTGCCGACGTAGCATAAAAGTATTCTTTGGTTTTACCGCAATGAGCATGTGTTGCTAGAGAGCATTGATGGCTGTAATCAAAAGACATTTTTTGACAATGTTTGGACCTTACTAAGTACTCACTTTCCAAGCTTGTTCGAGTTTTGCGATGATATTGCAACTATATTTTCTAGCACGAATATAGTGGAGTTTGACTTGTCAGGTTTGGGGTGAGAGAAAGTTGATCATATCAAGAATCTTTCATACTTTGCACTTGAAGGTGTGCTTGCAGGAGAAGCAGTATATGCAAATTGAGTCAGTTGCAGATTGTGATAATTGAGGAGCAATCTCGCATCTTGATTACTGATCAATCAATTGATCGGTATTACACATCTTGTTGTACGAAAAAAATTTCCAATTCTTGTTTTTTGGCCTTCAATCTCGACTAAATGTGTCTATAGTTTAAATTAAATCTGAAACAGTGCCTATATTATTTTAATTTAGGTAATTCATGCGATTGTCTATTATAAGGAGGCTTGGAGATAGTCTATAATTCATAAGCTTTCAAATGACTTATCTTTGAGTATGAAGCATGCTGATGAAGTTATTTTGAAGAAAACCAGGTGTGTTTCTGATTGTAATTAAATTTACACATTAAGAATCTACGGAGAACCAAAACTGCTACTCGAGGATTATTACGAAGATTCAAGTACATATACTAAGTACATCTTGAGCTGACGGATTTAGACACATAAGGGTGTTGGATTTTATAGAAATAACCTGAAGAGCTCAATTATATAAGAGGTTTCTTTGGATGAAAAATTATAATTACTTCGTGGTCATGGATATTAGATAATCAAATATATTATATTGGGCTACATTTAGTTCCGTATGATAGCATTATAATATTGAAGAGTAGGAGAAATACAAAGAATAAAATAGGGTGATAGACAACCTAAATAAAGGTCTGGTATACATTGAAGAATTATATATATGATGGGATCTATCAAAACCTAAATTGTTTCATGGGATCCATCAAGATTTGTTTTATCTGATAAGACCTCATCGAGGGCACACCGTTGTAAAGGTCTAAAACGTGTTTCTGTACATAGCGAATTTGGGATGAGTTCTAATTTGCAACAGTTTTTTTTTGTCCAGAGTCTAGAAGTTGCGGTGAATTGTACAAATAAGTATGCCTTTGCTTTTTTTCGATTGCCGAGTATCTACCACTACAAAGGGATACTGCTTCCGATGATTCACGGTGTATCACCTCTATGAAATATGCTCTCAAAGACTCGACTTGGGAAGTGGACATCACTCTGGTTTGCAATAGTCAAACCCTCTACAATTGTATCGTGTATATGCGTGCAAAGATCTACTATTGCAAGGATTTTGCAATTCAATACACAAAAAATCATGCGCTCTGACTTTTTCACCTATTCGATGTTGTAAGTGTAAAAAGTTCGCAAACACATGAGGAAACAAAATGTACAAGAAAATCGCTTAGACAGAGTTTCATTGCCTGAACCGCCTGTTGATACTCGAACATGTGTGAAGTGTACTGTAGGTGGGATTCCATGAGATAAAACTAAACTTAAAGAGTCATAGTAAGCATTTTAGGTTACCATATGATTACATCAAGTAAATACTTCATGAACTACACATGTCTCCATTTGTGAAATCTAAATGTTTAACAAAGCTTACAATTACACATTTCTAAACTAGTTTATTCCTGTGTGTCTAAATTAAGCTAATTTAGGCGCCCCATTAGACTAACTAGGCCAATTCATATCCAATAGATGATGCATCGCAAACTTCATTAAATTAAAATGTATCATTTCATTACTTACTTTCGTACAATTTTTTTATATATCACTAAACCACATAGTTGATAAGTACATACTTTTGTTGACATTTTATTGGAATTTAGTTTCGTGTCATCCATTATAGTTCATACTTGAATTCATTTATAACATCATACTTTTTTGTGTTGATTTTAATGAATGTTTACCATGTTGAATCATCTAATATATCATCTCTAATCATGATAATCAAATCAAATAAAACTTGCATATACATCAAATAAAATTTTGATTGAACATATTTGATGAAAGTAAATAAAATCATGATGATGTTTATATCAATGTATAAACCACGATTACATTCAACATAAATGATTGATCTCACATGTTTCAAAATATTTGTTCTCTTTTAGTATGACAATGTATTTGAGTAAGTTTTGTTTGAGTCTTTCAATTAACTTTAACTTTCATTAGAATAATATTTTGTAAATACTATCCTTGGAATTGATACATAAACATTCGAGTTTATGCTATAGCAATTTTATGGGCTTTGAAAATCATGGCAGCTTGTTTACATCTTTGTAATTACGTGAAGAGAAGTTTAGTCTGATTTTTAAGTTTTGAAATCTAAGAAACTGTCTTTTAATAATTTGTTTGGATTATTTTTTAAGATAAATTATAAATTATATACAAAAAAATTACACATCTCTATATTATCCATAATTATGAAATCATGTTAATTTCAAAATCTTGTAATCTTTAATCATAAATAAATCTAAATTGTTTCAAAATGAATGTACATATAATATCCAAAACATAAGATAATGAAATAATTGCTTCTTAAAAAGTTAAGATTATAAATGTCTAAATGCAATATTACTAGAACATAGACATTCACACATAATTCTTGTATAATATTATCCATTGAACTGAAGTTACATTTAATTCAAATCAAGTACTTTGTGCACAATAAATCAGTACTTTAGATTGTATTTAAATAATTTTAAAAAAATAGAATATACAGTTTTTAAATAGAAATTGTATATTCTACAAACTTCAACTCTGTAAATTATAATGAGAAAATCAAAATGTATTTTTAGAAAGTCAATATATACCAAATATCATGTATGTTTTGCTACTAATAGTAATTATAAGTAGAAAATAAATGCTTAAATATGTCCTGATTCTTTTGCTCCCAAGTTATTTGGGTACAATTAAGATTTATAACATTACATATATCAGTGATACTTTAATTTTGTAAATTTACAATATCCAATTATACAAATGTAATAATAAATGAACTGGTTTTCAGTTTCTATATTAAGCTCAAAATTAAGTAGAATATTTTTGACGTAAAAAATACTTGTCTCTTTTTGCATACGGTTATTATATTTCCCATATAATTTTTTTGTCCACTTACACCGTTCCAGGTGTACTATATATCGCATAATAATCACACACATGTTGTGAAAGATTGCGTTGCAAAGACAAACTCATTGCTATGTATGTCTGTACCAGGGTTTGACATTCCCCCGGGAATAGGCTGATCATTTCCGGTACAAGGGGAGAAACGGGGGGACAACCGGAAGGAACCGACTGACCCCTTAAAAAGACTCAGAGTTACAATCCGAATCTTTTTAGAGTAAACCCGGGGAGACCCCAGGTTTTACCGTAAAAAAATTTATTTTACTGGCGTACTGCGTGGAAACCTACAGCAAAAGGAGCACAGACTTCTTGGGACAGCGGAAGAGCCTAACGCTGCGGTGAGAGGCAGGGAGCGAGACGAGAGGGAAGAGTTTTTTTTCCTGCTTGCGTGCGCGCTTCTTACATTTTTGGATTTGCTTTCGCTGGTCGGGAGCGAGGGAGGGAGGCCGAGGCACAGAGAGTGTAAGGGACTCACCTCTTGATGCATACGGATACAGTCAATAGATCCGAAATCTTGAGCGTGCAGATGCAGCAGGGCACGTACTTCGGAGGGACCCACAGTGTAACTTTTCTCCGGGTCGCAGCTCGTTCGGCCTGTGGTGATCTGTTGACGCCCGATTTCGGGTGGGGTTGACATCAGCCATGTATGCTGGCCATGTATGTATGCGAATGGAAATGAGAAAGGTGGCTGTAAACTCTGCACTCTGCTGAAAAGCACGACTTGAATCTGAAAAGTACACGAGGTCAGCGCTGTTATCTGTGTCTACCATTTTTAATATCTCTTTCAAACCTACAATGTCCTCTTCCGACAGATTTTTGGCTATAACCTGTAGAAAAAATCGTGGACCGTGAAAAGTTAAATTTCATAGTACTGGATGCCGAGACTCTACTTATAATTTAAGAGAAGCATTCTTCGACCAGAGGATGAAATTGATTTCGTAAGCCCGCAATAGAACGTATCAAGTATAGGAGTAAGCTATGACTTCGTACTCGGATTGCCATCTTCTTTAGCTCATTCATAGCTTATTTGCAGTTGGGCTCGAGCTTTTACCGGATGTCAAGTTCCTGAGTGACCCGTCCGGCAATGTGCGAGATGTACAGTTGGGACAGTGCATCATCTTTGTGCTGCTGAAAACATCACCAATCAATTGCAACTTGACCTTGGCCAAACCGAGTTGTGTTTTGATTGCAGAGTTGCAGATGCAGCTATCAAAATTTATGCTGCAACTGGTAAGAAAATACTGTTGGTACTTGTTTTTCTAGCAACATAGTTATTTTTGATACCAACCATATATTAACATAGTCTTGACTCTATTTGCAGACCACAAACCAAGCGAGCAGACCACAACATCAACTCTCAATAAGAAGAAGAAGTATGCTGCCTCTGATTTGACAGTGCAAAGGTGGATGGAGAAATATGAGTGGGCTACATTGGTAGGCAGGAAAGAAGATGGACATCCCCTCATAAGCTGCTCTATATGCACAGAATCACAAGCCGCAAATAACTTTGCTTCCAAGACCGGCGCTGTTTGCAAAGATGCAAGTGAGTATATATATTTTTCCAAATCTTCTCATACTTGCTTTTTGCAATAAATATTATAATGTTATATGAATTTTTACATGAATATGATCTAATGTTTTTTTATGTAGACTATGTAAGCGATGATGCTTCATCGATAAAGCATAAGGCAGCTGCGTCAAAAGTAAAGCAACGGCAAGGGTTTAAGAAGAGCAGAGCAATAGCTGTGTCTCATTCACAAGCGGCAACAAATAAATTTTTGCACACAGCATTTTCTCTAACGCTTCTAGTTGTCTTAGAGAATTTGCCCATTTTAAAATGGACTGTTTTATTAGGATGAGTAAGCAAATCCTTCCAATGCATGCACTACATCATGTGGGTTATACTTTCATTCAAAATTGTTGGTTTTCAAGACTAGTGAAGTATGTAACGATATATTTTCATCTGTGTGCCAATGCAGTTACCTTGTTTGGTTGGGGCATCCATGCATTAACCGGAAGTATAACCAGAAGCGTTACTTTTGGTCATTCCTTTCGGTGATCAGTGAAAGCCTTCTAGCATCACAGTTGGCTAGGGTAGCTTCTAGTGCTTTCTATTCTGTCTTACTAGACAATTCTAACGACATCGGCAACGAGGATCACTGTTTGATATTTCTCAGGTGATCTCTCTTCATTCAAAGAAATATTGCAGAAAATTGTGTTAAAATGTAGTTGGCAATATTGATGAATCATTAACCATGTTGTGTTGGTAATTGTATAAATTAGGTACTGGGATGGTGATATTTGGATGCCACGATCGAAGTTCTTGTGCGCCGTTAGTTTGGGTGATAAATCAGCCGAAGGGATGTGTCAGATGCTATGTGCGGTGTTAAATGTCTTTGATATCCCAATATCAAAGATGGCGGCTATTTGTACTGACGGTGACTCCACACTAATTAGTAGATACAATGGGTTGGGCGCAAAGTTGCGAAAAACTGTGGGTTATCTTTTGAGTGTTCATTGCGCAGCGCACAAGACTGCCCTAGCCCTTGAAGACACAGCCAAGGAAATGGAAGATCTTCAAGAGTTGGACGTTGTTCTAAAGGCGGTGCATAATCTGTTTAGCAAATAAGGATCTCGTCAAATGCAATGGACACGCTTTGCTAGGAGGCGAGGTGTGTCCAAACTACAATATCCATTATTCAATGCCACTATGCGGTTTTCCAGAGCTCAATGTGTGGGAGCATTACAAGAGAATTTAGTAACGCTGATTTTGTTTTTGAAGAGAAACTCAGGCAAGAAGGGTTGGGAGAAAGTTGCAGATTTACTTAAGTCTCTCACTGATGTCACTTTCATCTGCCTACTGCATAGTGTTGCTGATGTATTGAAACCCTTAGAGGAATTTAGGAAAATATTTTGAGCAAGACAACAACCTACCTCATAAAATTCCTCGTCGACTTGAGGTGTGTTTGTTTGCTCTGAGATATATATGTGGCTCCGAGTATCGGGTTGGTGGTGATAAATTGAAACAGTTTTTAAAATCTGTTCAAGAGAATGGGACCACAAAGGGTCTAATTTGGCATGTCAATGAGAGTTGTAGGATTCCTTTGATATGTCATCCTGGTTTCAGTGTGGAACACGTCTATATGTTCATCAAGGTGCTTGTGGAAGAAATTGAGTCAAACCTTTTGGAATGCTTTCCCGATGGAGATGTGGTTAGTGCCTTCAAAATTTTTGATCCTACATTTTATAGAAGCCTAAAGCAGTCAGAGCTTGATAAATTTGGTGTCTTAGATTACAAAATTCTGTTGAGCCATTTTTGCAACAGGACAAAGAGAGAGCAGCTGTTCCCAATTGCCCCGTCCGTATTGTCTCAGGTCAACAAAGAGTTTTCGAAGATGAAGCAACTGTTGTGGTTAGTAGCCAAGAATCCGCATGCAGAGTTTCTTCTCGTCTGGAGGAACATTCATGATGAGCATGGGCTGGGGCTAGGCTACATGTTTAAATTTGTGTATCTTTGTCTAGTCATCCCCCTCAATAGTGCCATTGCCGAACGAGGTTTTTCTTTGCACAATAGTATTAAAACCAAGCTTAGAAATAAGCTGTGTATCAAAACAATTGATACACTCATTACGACCAAGACTTTGGCGAAGTCTTTGGAGAATTTCGATTATTTACAACTAGAGGAACTGTATCATAATACTCAGAACTTCAAGTTGCCATCATTATTCCAAGCTCTAAATGCCCTTGATTATGATGGGAACTGAGATGATAGTGACAACGTAGATCTTAATCAAGATGTTGAGGATGATAATCTAGATGAGCATGCTTTCTATGATGTTGATTCATAAGAAGATGATGAAGAACCAGTGCAAGCAATTGTAGTTGAGGAACCTAGTGGTGTTGAGCTGGGTGAAAAATTCATTGAGTTCTTGGGAATGGGCACAAGTTGAAAGTAAAGTTTAAGATTTTCAAATCCATGTTTCATTTGTTCACAAATTTCTATGTTAATACCAAGAAAGATCCAACATGTATAAAATAATTTTGAAGACCACCGGAATTTTATTTTGGACAAATCGGGGTCACCCCGAGGAATAAAAAATATTCAAGTCGAAAAGTCGGTGCTAGCCCCGACTCGTGTCGTATTCCTGGGGTGACCCGGTGGCTTTCAGCCATGCGTGTCAAACCCTGATCTGTACTCCACGTAGCTTCAGACGGTCATAGACGTTGTGAAATTTCCACTTGTGTGGGAAAGTAGGCGGCTTGCCATTTAAAATACAGAGGCCACAGAATGAAGAGGTGATATTGGATTTCAATGTCGAAGTGGAAGGCGACTGGAGCACGATGAATGACCTTTACAACTTAGAAAATTAGTACAGCGCGTTACCCTTGCATTCCGTACAAGCCCGCTCGGCTGATGCTACAGATCTGGACCCATTTGGGTGATGATTAGCATTAAGGTTGGGTCCGGCTTCTCGCCTGTCAATTTTAGCGAAGCTGACTGCACCAGTTACGACCTTCATCTGTATATATATATGTATTGTCCTCGCCTTCTAGATCTTGGACATCCACATTAGTGGTGTAGGTTTCTGAAAGCACCAGATGCTTTGGGATTTAATGTACAAGAAGGATCCGCCACAACTCATTTAAAATATACAACTGGAGCTGAACAGAAGTTATTTTGGAGGCACCACAAAGCATTTCAAACTGGCCCATTCTAGATGAAACTTCATTTCTCGTGGAGCCACAGACGGCTATGGATGGCTCGTGACTTGACGCCCTTTCTCAAAATTTTCTCCCAAGATTCCAGGTTCATGTGGGCACCACAGAATGTTCTTATTACAAGGCTTCATCCTTACCGGAACGCTCTCCTTCCCGACTGTGAAGATAGTTGACAAAGATTCAAAAATTCGGACCAGCCTATACACAGAAGAATTGCAACCAGTTTACAAGGAAATTCAAAGTCAAGCTTCACTGAGACGTAATCAATATACATCTGTGGTGTATCTACACGGAATCGGTGGTTTGTAAAGACTGCGGAAACTCCAGAAAATAGAGAGTGCTACTCCTCCATAGCTTCGCCCTCAATAATAGCTACATGGTCTTTCAGCGGGGTGATCTTCGTCGAAAGCACAGCTGCAAACAACCATCGAAAACCGACTTGTCAATGAACATCCATACCCCTAAGAGGAAGTGGGGAGTCCTCTAATCGTCTCCTCATGCCTAGTACGACTATGGTTAATTCAATGCAGCGAGACTGTCTCAGCGCTGCTCTTGGACCCCGGTCCATCTACTTAATATACGGACAATATGGAACGCGCTTAACGAGGATACCGAGAGGAGTTTATACCTGTGTGGCCCTTCACAAAGTCGTAACCCTTTGACCGTACGTAGCTTCGCGGGTTGGGCTTTTGATAATTTCTCAAATATTCAGCCTTTTTCTCACCCTGTAAACAAAAATCGAAAGTTGTAAATCATATGTTACAATGCCTCATCATCGTGATTGCGCAGACTCTGAGACAAAAAAGCTCCTCTCCTCAGCACAAGAACGGAAACACAAGTTCGATTCACAGCTTATGTTCAAAACTGACAGTCGCAGTACTGACCTCGTCATTTGAATAAAGATGATCTCAAGGTTGGTCGATGTATGACCATTCTTTGCTAACTTCTATAAGAAACTATTCTAGTCAACGCTACAAAAACCTTGTGAGGCATTACCTTCGTGAGGATGCAGAGATCAACATTGCTTCCACTTCCGAGATCATTGAAGATACCGGCACATATGGCGGCGGCGACAAGCTCCATACCTTCCTCTTTCTGCATTTCTCATATGCTATGAAGGTTAGTAACTCGATAATTGAAGATTGAAGACACAACATCCTCTCAGAAGTCAGAACGAAGAAACACTGCTTTGGACTTACCGTCATATTTTCCTTGTATCTGGATTCGAAAACAGACATTGCGGCCAGAGAACCGGAACCCATAGTAGCAAATGGTAGGGTGTCGGTAGAACCATGAGGGTAAACCTGTTTCACCAAAAATAGGAAATTCAGTTTCGACATCGTCTTCGATCCTTTCTGATTTCTAACTGGTGCACAAGACTAGGACCACAAAGATGTAAGACTGTTTGGTAACGAACTAGATGTGCTCAAAAAACGAAGACAATCGAGACTCCATGTAAGAAAAGATCTAACTACTTACTGTATGCAGATGAGGACCTGTTACGTCAACTCCTCCAAGAACAAGAGCGGCACTCACTTGTCCTCGGTAGCTGAAACATGGCAAATATACGAGAAGAAATGAGAAAAGAAAGGCACCAACGCAAAAACAACCTCGTGATCAAACAAAAAAACAAGAGTTGTCCATATTTGTACTCATGGAAATTGGCGAACAAAACATGCTCCCGCTCACGACGTGCAGAGGGCACATGTCAGAGGATGACTGGGTCGAGAGCATACCCAAAAAGATGAGTTTTCAACATTGTCAGGGCCGTCACCACACGTGAGTCTCGGTTTGTAGCATAGCGGTGAAGCTCGAGTTGGGATCTCACCATATCTGCGTAAACACCACCGATTCCAACATCGATTGGAAAAAAATTACAGTTTGTAAACATAACGTTTTGTATTTACAACATTTGGCAGCTGCCAACAGAGGGATGGAAAGGGAAAGTCGGAGGCTCTGTTCGTGACCGATTGCATATTAGGTTAAAAATAATTCTCCACACATTGTGTAACGGACCTTCAAGGTCTCGGAACTATCTCAAGAGATAGAAATGAGTGAAATATAGGAAGCTACAATCAACTCAATGATGTGATGCCGCTTCTCAGAAAAAGGCAAGTAGTGAACCTGTGACGTTCTCCGTGTCAGCTGCAGTACCGGCACCACAGCAGTAGATGTTGGGAGCAATGTAGTGAATTTTCTCGCAGTTCTTGTCACAGACAATTTCCCCTTCCGTTGCTCGAGTATCTGCTCCTAAGATCACTCCATCCTGAGCGCGGAATTAATCTTAGAGCCCAAATTAAGCATGGCTTCCACTCGATTAAGCTCAAAACTATCAGATGTAACAACTGGCTTCCATCCACAAATTTTACAGAATTGCATCTTGTGAGTTTCCAAGTTATCAGCAAACAGACAAGTTCCTGGCGGAAATCAGTGATTAATCACACCAATCGACTCTTCAGACTGCAATACGGCGAATATCATCCGATTTATCCATAGGTTTAAGCCTGATGCCGTCGCATGATCATCGTACACTTCCCATCTCAAAAGCGTACACGATCGTGGACAGACCAGCGCAATTCCTTTTGAAAGGGTTGACTTAAGAATTTAAAGAGCTTCTTGAGGACCGCAGAAAAAACTGTCACTAGAAATCAAACAGCTGAGCATACCTTGTAAACGAGACCCACAATTGTCGTGCCGGTCTTCCTGAACCGGGGCAACGCAATGCCATTCTTTTCCAGCATCGCATTTCTCCGGCACAAATCGAAGCTAAACCCTCCTTTGGGTGGCAAATCGATCATCGTTTCCGCCATGTTCGCAAGCCTGACTTTCTCGAGTTTCCCAACCCAATTGATGGATCAAACTGGACAAAAGATCTGTGACAAAAAAACGTCGATCAAATGCCCTCCCGCACTTGGTCTCCGTCTCCTGACGAAGTATGAGCACCAGCAACAGCAAAACGAACAATTATGCTCCTCTAGGGTTCCATCACTGACAAGACCTCCAGGCACTTAACCAGCACTGTCTGTCTGAGTAACCAACAAGCAACCTTGACGGCTCCCAAGTTCCTTCTTGGCTCACGGTTATTGTGTTTATTAGTCCCTGGAGACTGCCAATCTCTCAATTGTAAGAACCGATGTGTCCGGCGCAACTCACATGTCTACAAAATTAAAGACATGAAGATACCTTGCGTTGGAGGAATATAAAGTACTTATAATTTAACAGCAGTGATTTTGCAATTTACAAACATACAGTTTAAATTTCAGAATGTGTCCATATATGTCGAACTTAAATATTCCATCTTCATTGCTTAATCCTCAAGCGTTATAGAACTGGATGATTGTTTTTGGGTTTTTAACCATAATAGTGTTGGGGACAATTTAAAAATCGCCTCTTTGAAAATCCTATGTTACACCATGATTATTGTATATGTGAATTGATTGTATTGAAATTAATATGCTTAATTATTTTTAACATAGTAAAAAAAATTTCAATAATGTAATAATAATTAATAAACGTTTCTTTTACATCTTTAATAGATCACTAATAGAGATTTAGTAATACAAGCGAAATCTATAAATTTCATTTGAAAAAATGCCTTGAGTTGTGTAACAAAAACTGGTAACCAAATCTCAACTTATCAGCTTAACATATCTGATCTTCTTACACATTTGCAATGTTGAATAAGATATGTAAATTATTGAATCTTTGTGATTTATGGTATTAAAAAAATTGAATGAATATATAAATATATAAATATATATATAAGATTGTGTATTTTTTCTACATTTCAATATTAAAACTAGGAATATATACAGTCATTTACATATCTTGCTTACCACATTTTCAACATGAATTAAAGATATAACAAATTTGATTTTTGAATAACATTTTAACAATACTATCCAAAATAATTAAATTTACTTGTTTAAATTTGATATCAAAATAAAATGTTTTCATTTAAGCATCTAAAGTATATAAAAATATTGATTGTAAAATTTTGAATTAAATATTTCAGATATTCGTAATTTTAATATAATCCTGAATAAAATCTATTGAAATCTAATTTATTTATATATAGATGAATGAAAATCATTTTGCTGTAATTATATTTTAGATTATATAATTGATAACTTTGTTTAACATTTCTTAAAATTTGATTCAAAATGTACATGTTAACATACATTTTATCTTAAAAAACAGAAATAATTGTAATAAAGTAATAAAAATGATTACTTTGTATTATATAGCAAGTATAATAATTTTTGAGTGGATAAATTTGATAATTGATTTGAAGTTTTCTTTGAAATCTATTATATATTATATAAATCGCACATAAATTATCTATAATTATGTAAATTATAGATAATCTTCAAAAAATTACATATGTTGCAAATATATTTGATATTTGATATTTGATACTTTTGTTATACCTTGTAAATATACAGAATTTTTGGTTGATGTTTTTTTGAAAAATTTTCAAGTGAGATATTTGATGAGATATTTATCTCATCATTTGTATTTGTTCAAATTAATTTCATAAAAAATTCATTTTAAAAATTTAAAATTTTACAATCCAATTTTTTCCAGCTTAATCAATATTTTAGCATTAATATTAGGCCATTGAAACTTGAACAGCAGATAAAAAATTATAAATTACTAGCTAATATAGATAAGAACATGTAAGATAATCAATTGAGCACGGAACATCTTATGATTTGATCATCCAGAAACCTTGTTATATTTTGATTTTTTTGGTGAAAATGAATAAAAATGTACAATAATCAGCTATAGTGTTAAAAATAGAACTTTAAAGAAATACTAATTTGTGCATTATTGAGTATTATTTTGTATAAAATGTTAATGATTTTTTTCATGGATATGAAAAGACTTTTTAGTATCATCTATCTAATAGATTTGACAATAATAGAAAGCACAAAATAAAAAACATGAAATTAATCTATCATAAAATTATTAATTGGATTATAATTATTCAAAAAAATATTAACAAAATCTATTTGAGATTAATCTTTATATTGGTAATTAAATCAAATATTCCCATTTGAGTGTATTAATTATCATTGTAAGATTAAAAATATTCTATAAAAGATACTGAGGAATGATCATGAACTAATTCATGCACTCAATACAATATTCGTTCGAAATTATATTTTTTATAGAAATGATTACTTCTAAAAAAATTTAAATCTTTTATGCAACATAAAGTTCTTTGTAATATAATTTAATACATTTATTTCATAATATTAAAATACATGATGTGTCATAGAAACATACATAATTCAAAAATTTGAGATTTTCTTTTTTTTTGAATTTTTTTGCTGAAATCTTATTATCTAATTTTCAAAGTCAATATATGTTTTTCAAATCATACATATCTCATTTGATAATTAGTTAAATCAAAATTTTTAAACGTTGAACTGTTCAGTAGATTTATTAAGTATTTTACTGATCAATCTATGTATAAATCCATTATGCGATGATCTATAGTTATTTTGATGGTGTTTTAATAGTGTAACCCACATTGATTTCAATTTATAACCAGACATAATGTAAAGAATAAAATTACTTGCATGAAGTATAACAAGCAAAGTCATTCCTTACATTTTCAGGCAGGGTTAAAGATGTAATTCTTTGAAATTAAATAGTCGTATATTTAGACCATCTAGCTTGTAGAAAAGTCGTTCCAAAGTTTGTATTATTTACTTCAAAGAAAGCAACTTTTCAAGGGAAAATGTATTTTTTCAAGAATTGTCGATTGATAAAGGAACAACAATTCACAAATAAACTTGCACAGATTCTTTGGTTTGGTTAAACCTTCGCAGGAAGAGACTAGAGCTGGAATCAAGCTCCCTTAATCTCGACAAATATCCCGAAACTTTCAGAAGCTGAAACCAACATGTTTCTCAGCGGTAGTACACGTCTGTCACTGGTTCTCATCCAAACACCTTGTACTGACGGCAATAAACTACACCAGGAGATCCTTGTGTACACATGACGAGACAAACATTCTTAGATGGGGAATAAACAGTAGGAGTCCAGGTAACTAGAGTCCACCTTCAAGACATGCTCAGCAGATTCATAAGGTTTTCCATCCATATTCGAGCCTAGATTCAAGGTGTCCAGGCGTTAGCTGGAGAAATTGTACATGTAATGGTTGATAACCAAAGTTACCTTCCGGTTTGCAACCCAAAGCACCATCATACATCAAATGTTTCCTCGTTTTGTCGAAAGTCCTGATTCTAATTTAATGAAGGACTTTGCTGACTGTCAGCAATTGAGATCTTATAAACCTCAAAAGATTTCACTGGCCCCTTTAGCGATTGTCTGAACATTGGGATCCAGAGCAGAATTACTTTGGCAGTATGATGTATTAGGGTTGGCTGCCTTCTTGCTGCATATGCAAGGCTCGAGATGATCTCACTTTGTAAGATCAAAACTTGTGCTAAATAGTGCCATGACGTATAGGCGGATAGATCCTAACAGGAGATATTTCCCGCGGAATGGAAGCCTGCAAGATTAAAATGGATAGCATCTCGATAAATTAAACCAGCGCAGCGCATGAACAATGTTCGCAACTCATCTACTATTCGACTCCTAAAGATAGCTTTCAGAAAGTTAAGGCCATCCATCGGTCAGAACTGGATACATCTTGACACTGCTCAACTTGTAATGGTGGTCAAAGAATTCTGGATTAAACTGATCAACGCAGACTATCTACACAGGAGTTGGAGCATTCCCATCCTCATCTACACAGGAGTTGGAGAAAGACAAGAAGACATGAAAAACATACTCTCTTCATCCTCTCGTTCACAACATTAAACCAACTAGACCATAAGTACAGAAGCGAAAATCGGCATCCTGTGGACATTAGCTTTTGTCTAAGTGAGCAAACTGTCTACCGATCCAAAAGAGTATGTTAAAAAAAGGGATAAGGCCACAGGAGAGAAGACTTTCGGATTCTTCAGAAAGAGGTCGATGTCAGTGAACCCACCTTCGGAACCTGAGAATTGTCAACAGGCGTGTACAAACTCAAATCTTCTCTTGATTGAGTGCGACGGCTGCAAAGCCTCGAACCTTTCGGGTGAATTTTCAGGGGAGCAAGTTGGATCTGCCCTCCACTGCTTGTCCCCGTTCCTGGTTGTAGTACATCACACGCCAAGAAAGGTCCGTCCCCACCGGCCATGGCTCCAAAACCGAACATAGTATGATGGAAAGTGTTGTTCGGGCCTGATGGAGCTGGACTATGGGGCTGCTTCACCCGACCGTCACCTGCACTTCCATTCGAAATTGATTACCATAAATACACCAAAAAACATTATACTCATTACTTTTTGCTGAACAAAAACTCCTGGAGGAACTATAAACGAGAAAACATATTCTGCTGAGACGGAGAACGTACCAGACGGACTTGATCCACCACCATTATTCGCCCCGAGATCCATTTGGAAACGGAAGGTCGGTGACCACCACGAAAAAGGACTACTGTTCGCAGATGGCGTTACAAAGAGGGGCAGGTATGGTCGTCGCCATCCACGGGAAGGAAGGCATCGCCGGTAGCAAGTAACGAGCATAAGAATCAAGAGAATAAAAACGACAACAAGAAAGGTAATCGACTGTACATCGAGAGAAAAGGCAGATTCTCTGAACCGGGCAAACCCACTCCTCTCCACCCCCGCTCTCCGGGTTGCAGGCAGCAATGCACCAGCCTCATTCAGAGCTGCACCCAATGTCCACGCAAAATCTCCAGAACCAATCTGAATCTGATCCGCTCTAAGGTGGAGACCCTCGAGCAGTAGAGATACGACATAAGGTGCACGGAAGCAGTAGCGATCTATGCTAGGCTGAGGTGGAACACTCACTTTGGCGTCCTGCCATTTCATCTTGCAGAACTGATGACCTTTGATTAAAAGATCATTCAAAGAATCTGTTGACGTCAGGCCAAAAAATTTGTAAACCACAAAAAAACCTGCCAGGGCATAGAACTGGCCCTGAGGTTCAGGTTGATGCTTTCCCAAAGCACAAGGGGGAAATTCACATTCACTAACCCCGGTAGTTTGAGGGAGCCCAGACTCATTGATCACAGACAAAGCCAAGCTCTGACAAGATGACCAGTTCGACTTTCCTACCAACTGCACTTTGCCTCCAAAATCCCCTCCTGCTAACAGGCTCCTGCGTCCCTTGTGTGGTTCATTAGCGTGCGGAAAAGGCGGAAGGGCGCAGTGCGAGCAGACAAAAGGCTCTTTGTACCCTGGATTCAGACACGGATGTTGAACAAAGATCGTACCTTTTTTCCTGGTATATTCACCCCGCTGAATGAGCAGGGCTACAGACTTCTCAAAAGCATCATTCAGGCCAAACCCAGGATGAGAATATGCATAGAGATGATGTTCTTCAGATCCTACACTCACATTGACTCCATAGGCTGCCGGGGGGGTCCTATCTGGCTCGAAAGTCACTTCTAATGAAGAACCGCCGAGGTCGAGAGCACCAAAGGTGTCCTTGGAAGATCGTCCAAGCCTGTCCTGGTTGTAATTCAGGGCAATCCATCCATAATAAGCCTCTTCTTGACCACTTATAATTCTCACCCATTCTCTCATAACCAAGAACGGGGATCGCTCCAATGAAGACCAAGCCTTGTCTAGCAGCCAGCCCGAATCGGTAGGGGGCAACTTACGCAGACCAGCCGTCGCTAGGAAAAAAAGCTTTGTCCTTTTATGAGATGATCGTGGAATTTGCTTCCCTGCCCACTCGATGAGCGGCTCAATGGCACCCTGTACTCCCGACTCGTTGTGCAAAAGCTTATCCAATCCTGGTTCTGTCTCCATTCGTTTGTATGCTCTACTTTCTCCTTGTCTCTTCCCCTTGTCGAATGTCGGCGCTCCATCGTATTTCTGAGGCCCGGAGTACACAGAAGAAGGATGCACCATTACCGGCAGGGAATCCTTTCCTAGCATCATCTCATGCGTCCACGCATAAACGTGGACCCTAGTTCCAGTGCTTCCGCAGTCCATAACAATCGCATATTCCAAATCTCCATCGGCAAAATGAACACCTGCCCACAGTAAGCACAGGTAGAGCAAAGCAAGGCCAAAAGTGATACAGCCCAACAAAGCTCCTCCTTTGCTGAAGATGGCATTGCAACCAAAGGGTGGACTCAAAAGGCCAGAGGGCCTTCTTACTAAATTGCTCTTAATAGTTGTCAAGATGGGTACTCCTTGACCTTCACTCCTCGGCACCTGCTGGCCAGAAATTCCTGGTCCAAAACCAGCAACCGAAGAAGCACTTCTCGGAACTCCACTGGGAGAAGATCCATTCCAAAATGGGGACGAAAAGTCCTGTAGAGACGATGATACGCGTAACCTCTCTTCCCTCGGCGGGCCAGTTCTCACCTGTACACCGGCTGATCCTTGAACCTGAGAAGATGAAGAAGAAGATACTGCTGCAAATTGCTGGGCTCCAGCCGGCATCCCACCAACACCCATAGCACAGGTTGCGACGCAGGGGGGGATTTAACTGCGTGCTCAACACGCTTGCCGGGCCAACTCTGCCATATGCCCATGGCCTGCTCCGTCCCACCTTCTACTTTGTTGCCATAACCTCCTATTATCCATATTCCATAATATGCCCGGCCACCACACACATGCTTGAACGTCAACCTTGAGCATGAGATGGGCCCTCATTCATCTGTTGCTCACCAGGCACAGGCCGGTCCTCCAAAGAAACCAGGATTCTTTTCAGCGATGAACCTGTCCTCCAGTCCCGATCTAGAGCGTAGTCAGGAGCTAACCTTATCATTGGCACCATGTACAGAACCTTTAAAACGCTACCGAAATCTACGAGGGCTGTATCACTACCGCGATCTCTGGTGTGCGACCCGGACAATGCGTTTGCCCACAGAATTCTTGCTCGTGGTTTTTCTCAACCGATTATGAAACTCAATTCCTTCCATCCAAGTGTGCCCTAGACAGGAACTTGTCGAGCATTTCCAATCGGGGGGGTCCGTGTGAAGGGGAGCTGTACTTGACAAAATTTGTATTTTCGATCCGCCTGGCGTTCGCGCTCCATCCCTTCATGTAGCTGTAAAAGTCAACTGCCGTCGGTCAAAAAATTTGCATCAACGTTCTATTCAGATCGGACTGGCAAACTTGAACTAAACACCGCCACGATGATCCCATCCAGATGTCATTCTCATACACGGGAGAAATGAATAAGTTCAAACGAGCACACTGTACCCTACCCACACAGACAATATAATTTAAACATTGAAAGCACACGCGATCCGACCGCCATAATCTGACTTGTTCTCATCTTACTCCTTGATTATTCTAGACCGGAATATCCTTCAAGAAATTGTACGATCGAGCTCGAAAATTCTTATGCATGTACTTCACTCCCATGAGTTTGGGGAAGCAACAAATGCAGATTCCTTCAAGCGATCTAAACGATACACGGACCAACTCCGCAAGATGCGTCCAGATCTACTGAAAGATCGGGGAGAATTGGACTGCAGAATCGCCATAATAGAAGAAAACACGCCAACTCCTGATGTTGAGACAGCATATGAGACCAACAAAGAAGCTCTCCGAACAAGGCAAACTTCAAAGCTGGTGACACGCTCGACTCTGGCGCTCCAGACCGGGCATCAACACAATCGTGCCCTCGTGACCAACTTCCTAAATACATTTACGGCAAGATGCGACGGATGGCTCTTGCTGAGCAGAGTTCCTTCACACAATGCCGAACCCGAAATCCACGATCATTCCGGCATTGGCGAGCAGAACACTCGCTCAAGAAGAAACACAAAACTGCAAGCCCCACAGTCCATGCCACCTAGCGACATATCGAGCTCAGCACCAGTTGAAAAAGTCCAAGGGTTCTGGGTTCGTTACCGAAGCCTGAGGTGAGGTGTCACGGCGGCCACACGAGGTCGTTCCTTCTTCGATGCACCCACCACTGCCCTGACTAGCACCGGCGCCTCCAATATTTCTAGCTCGGCGATAGCTCGCCCCAGCGCCCCTCACCCCCGTCGACCCAGTCGGGTTGGCGAGTCGATGAGGCAACCACACCAATGCGCGGCTATAGGCACCGAGCGTCGAAACAATGCTCTACTTAGCGTAATCCAGACGATCAGCCTCCGCGAAGGAAACTAAATATCCAGGTCCAGACTTTACTGCGCGAAATTTGCGCCGGGCTCCTGATCCTCGCGTCAATCGACAAATCCAGCTCCCGCTCGCAATATAAAATTCCCCGCTCTGCCTTCTTGGCGCAATGCACCGCTCTCTCCCTCTCTCTTTCTCCAAATGTCCTCTCGCACATTCATTCACCTGTCAAGGCCCTCCCTCGACCCCGGGGCCCGCCCTGCCTGCGCATCGGGCACCGTCACCCTCATCATGCATCGATCGCCAAAGTCCTCGTCCTCGTCTCGATGCCCGAGACGGCCCAACTCGTCGATCGATCGATCGATCTCCCTCCCTCCCTCGGACGACGATGATATGGCACAGGACGCAGCCGCACCCGCGGACGCTACCGCGGCGCGCTCCGTTCAGCAACGGCAACAGACCCGTCGCAACGAGGAAAGCAGCGGCGGCAGCAGACGCTCCACCCACGCTCCCCGCCCGCTCCCCGCGCCTGTACAACGGACGGGCCGCGGCCTCCCTCCTTCTTCACCCGCTCCTCCAACGCCACGATTGGCACGTTGCTCCGCTCTCTCTCAAATCGCCTCTCGTCGTCTCCTTCTCTTTCTTCCTCCTCGGCACGCGGCCCCACCACGACGGCGCACCGTTGGTCCACTCCGTTCCTTCGGTCGTCAGTCAGTCGGTCAGGTCGGGTCAGAATCAGGCTACCGTTCGCCATGTAAAGTGGTCAACTCGCATCCCGCCTTCCCTAAGTTCGGCCGCCGTCTACGCTCCCACGGGACAGTACAGTACCGTCCGCGTCGAGCGAGGGCTGGCTGGCTATATGTAGCTGCGGGGGGGCTGGAAACGAAGCAAGCCACCGGAGTCACCGGAGCGACCGGAGCGAGCTCACCCACTATCTTCGGTTGTTGTTGACGTTTGAGCTCAGAAAAGATGGTGCTGGATCTTGATCTTCTTCGCTCAGGCGTTGGGTTGGGTCGTGGGTGACTGACGTTATCCGGACAACATGAGGCTTGCCGGAACGGGACTGACTGGATTGCCTGTACAATGTAGAGCTGTACTGTACTTCCTGGTGCCTGACAACTGGACAGGCGCTCGGCGTGGCACCTCCGAGCTCTAGCTATAGCCTGCTTTGTCCTGGACGGCAGATTTCCCGAAGAGAAACGGGGCCTGAAAGCGCCCGGAAAGCTGGACCGCGAGAGCCCGGCTGCTCCGAAGGCGGACGGGTGCGTTACACGGCGAGGCGGATTCCGAGGGACTGGCACGGGAGACATCAATGAATGGAAGGAAAGATTCAGTCGTCGTACCGCGCCAGCTGCCGTGGCGACGGACGGATCGGACGACGATGCCCGCTTCCGACGCCGGCCCGTGACTTGTCATCTGTAGACTCGCGCTGCTGTACTGCACCTTCCGCCTCCTGTATATAAGTCAACCTGCGGTGCGATCATCGTCGATTTATTGCCAACTTCCCTTATCGACATCTTTAACAGCTTTTTTATTCTGCGATGTGCAGTGGCATGTCGACTATCAGATACCTATCTATAGTCCTCTCTGTCTCACATTCCGTCCTGTTCTCGTCATTCGAATTTCTGCAGCAGCCTTGCAGGTTGTCATCAGGTTAGCGCATTCTACCACGCAATTGTAATTCTTGTTTGTGCTTCACTTGTTGTCACAGATCTCTGATGAGTATATGGAAAAAAATTACAAAGCCATGGATCCGAAGAAGCAATGATTGTTATGAATATGAGGTGATAGTATGAAGATGCACAGGAATCGCCAAGCCAAAACAAATCCTTATCGTTCAAGAGAATTTAGCATGCGGGAGTCCGACAACCTTGGTGCATGACCGATCCATGAGCATGCAACCTTGTCACATCATGAGCGGAAATTAGTATTACATGTTGAAATTGTAGATTTATCAAACTAAAGATAAGTTACATACTATGTTAAATGATATCTTCTTCAATAGATGAAGAGAATATAAATATAAATAATTTAATAACATAAAAAATCTTAAAATATGCCGTAATTGATTTTCAATATATAGATACATGATCTTCCAATGTAAATATTTTGGTAATTTGTAACATTTAATTTGAAGTATTTGAACATTTTATCATGCAACTTACCTGCATCTTAAATAACATAATAGAATATAACGATATTATAAGCTGTTTAACATGTTGACATAATATGAATTACCATAACAAATTTCAATTATATAATTAATATATATTCATATATTTCAATTATACAATTATATTTCAATTATATTTTAATTATTAATTTTTTTAGTAAAAATAATTTTAAAAAATCATTTGAATTGAAATATAAACAAAAAATTGATTATAGTTATTGAAAAATATTTGTTTGTAGAATTCAGCTCTCATATATAAGATAAATAGGATAGAAGAAAATCATACATTCAAAGAGTGTCATTTAAATGAATATATATTGATGATGTGAAGAATTATAGACTATGAAAATATAACATATAAGATTATTGTAAATTAGTTAATTTTTTTATGAATCTAGTTCATAAGAAAACAAGATTGTTCAAGCTCTTCAAACTAACGAAGACAAATTTACAGTCATGATTTTTGTCTGAAATTTTTTTAATAAAAAATAAGAATTGTAAGTCACTATCGATGATTCTCAAAATATTTCACCATATAGTAGAAAATAATAGAAATTGGGCAAGCAAGTCATTGTTAATGAAACTCAAAATATTCACACAAAAAAATAGACCAAGATCATCTCCTAGGAGATTATCAAACTCATATCAATGAAGCTTTCAAAAGACATAAAATTTAGATTGATTCATTTATTATTATAATTATGAAATTGGAACTGAAATTAATGATAAAAATGCATTGATCTTATATTTAAATAAAAACTTGATCTTAATTTTGTTTATAAACTTGAGTCAAGTATTGTTATCAAGCGCAAACTATAATCACGGATTGATAACTAGACATGAACTCTATAAGAATTTTCAAAAGATGAACTTATGATTTATAGTAATTGGATATACAAGCTGATGTACAATCAAACAGATGACCAATGACAACAAGAAGAGCAATTTCAAAGCCAAGTTGGTGAATGGGAATCTTACGTAAAATAAAACTCTGGATTGGAACTAGAAGTTTCTCACTTGTAACAAAATATGTTACAAATCTATTGAACTAATCACTTGCTACAATGTTCATTTTGGTAATTTGGTTTTCGCATAAGATGTATGTAATCACAACATTTAATTACAAATATTTAAATTATGAAATTTACATAAAATAGCCACTTAAATTTAAATGACAAGTTAAAAAATGGTTGATATGTAGATTGTTGAAATCATTGTAAGTGTTTAATTAAACTCATATATATTGCAATGTAAGGTATGATGAGTTCATCAAATCACAACAATTTTCACAAAATAAATATGATCTATGCACATGAAGAATACGTTGTATAATCAAATTTGTAATCCCATTTTTCTAGTAATTTATGTGTGATGATGCATTTGAAAGTTGTGAAGCAAATTTTCATGAAGTTCAATTTTCAGAAAAATTAGTAAATATTATCCCCCCCCCCCCTTGTTTGGGAGAAAGCGCAGAGCGAAAAAAGAAAAAGGACCCGGAGCTCATGTTATGCTCATATCACAAGGACATTTGTCTGTTTTAGCATTAGCCATGAAGATTTTTCGCTCTAACTATTATGCTAAAAGTTACTTCTTGGAGAAGACCTTGGAAGCCCAATTTCTAAGAAAGGTTTATTATGGTGGACATACGTATGTTTACAAGCCTTATGGCGAGAATCTGTATGTATTCCTTGTATACTTTTTCGACGAAAAAAAATGTCCGGTGGTAAGCGGACCGATGATCGAAGCCAGCACCAAAGGGAAGAACGTTCTTTTGGAGGCTAATATAGAATGCCCCTAATATTTCAATAGGCCTTTTCTACCATTCAGGCTCCCTCAGCTAAAGTACCTTATTTTTCCTACCGGCAACTGGAAGGGTACTTATTATTCAAAAAAACTAAAATACGCAAAAAGCCTGGGGGTATAACATAAATCTCTTAAGAGGTTATGTATTCGATGAAAGCACATTTTGGATTTTGTGAAATGATCTTTCAGCTCCACAAACCCAGCGCTTGAAATTTTTTTTAAAAATCGCTGAAATTTTCATAATGCTTTGTTGATGTTGTTTATGGAAAAAATCTGGATAATAAAAAATCTATGACAACATATATGTTTGCATTTGATATTGGATGTGTTAATCAGAATTTTAATTTAGAGATGTGTATAGCTTAGTGATCTACATAATCAAAATATATGAAGAAAATCAAAGCAACTAAAAATACTAATTGGGAGAATAGACTCATCATTGATTTTTTTCATTAAGATGAAAACAATAAAGGATGTTATACATCTTCATCTTGATAGTAAAAGTGTATCACATCTTATAAAAGATTGAATCATAAAAAAATGAAAAAATATATTAAAATTAAATCCCAATTTATTATCTATATAAATTTCGGAAATAAAACTCAAACTAGTCAATATTAACTATCAACTCATTGTAATTTATCATTGATAAAAACCGTTTTTTGAAAAATATTAGCAAACGTTGTCTATTTTACACTAATTAACTCCTACTCATAATGATAATGTTGTCATGCACAAAAGTCACGTTCAAACTTCGAACTGAAATTTGATTGATGTATCATGTTAGGTTGTAAAATGTTCAAATTCATTCCAACAAATAATAATGTTTATGCTATCAAAATAAATGGAGTAACAATAAGTTAGAATACAGATAAATTATCCACAGATCAGTCATAATTTTATTGTAAGGATATATTATAATCCATAACAAATATGCTCTCTGTATGTTTTAGTTACATGATGAGTTGTTATTATCCATGAGTTGCAGTCATGAACATGTACCTGAGTTAACCCATATTTTGGCATTAGCATGTTTGCTACAAATTTTTGTGACATAGATCAACTTCTACACACCACAAATTAGTTCTTAAGTTCAAACTTTAGTCAGCGTGAATAACCGATAGAATGTTCACAAAACAATTTGTACTGCAATGAGACACAAAATAGTGACGATGTAGGAATTAACACACTGAAACTGCTATAGTGATCATAAGTGAAACTGCAAAACCTTTATGTCTATGCTATATCTCAGCTCATTGAGCTCTATGCATATTACGGATGAACGTAACCTTAAATATCTCTTTGTATAGGCGATTAAATACGATTTTTGAACTACCTTTGTTGAAAAAGAAAGGTAACTGGAAAAGTGAAATACTTCCTTCCTTTCTTGCTGAAAATATGTCATGATTGTACAGAAAACCTGCAAATGAATATGTATTCATCAAAGAAAACCAAGAGGTGACTTCTGAAAGATTCTACGAAAATGGCTTACGAGACGAGCACAAGTACTCGGGATGTACCTTGGGGCTATATGCATGCATATATGTTCATTTTATTAACTTTCGGAATCTAGAGTTGGAACAATCCAAATTTGTTGTGATTTACATGTACATTTACAACATTTACTACATGGCACTGAAGAGTGGTAGTCTGAGTTAAGTATTATTCATGCTCCTGCATTGTCAAATCTGAACAGCAAGGTAACTGGTGATATCTGTCAAATATGAACACAAATATACGTGCTCATATCCAACATATTCAAAGTTCGAAAAATCAGCATCCAAGTTCCATTTGACTGACTCGTACCTGATGCAAAGCAAAATATCCTAGGGTATGAGGTAGGGTAGGGTAGACACTGTGCAAACATTTGATGTTTCCGCCCACGTATCTAGCGAGGAAGAAGGGAATGGAGTGGACAAAGCTCGTTGAGTCATAATTCCTACTAAAGATATGTCAGACCAAAATTTTGAAAGATTTACAATCGGCAAGTTTTAAGTTTACCCCTTATCGTAGCGTTTTCAAGGGTTCATAACGTGAAACAGTAGATTGTGTCAACGAGAATTACGAATCTTGAAACCGGCTTCAAAGACCTGAATAGGACAAATGCATAAGATATCCTGAAATCTTTAACTACCAACTCCACCGGAACCATTAAGAAATTCCTTCAAACTTGAGAACAATGATCGATGTAAACTCTCGCAGTGAATTAGAACAATCTCAGGATTGCTTCAAATAACTTTTCTACGAGTGTCCACCTAAAAACTTGGCACTGCAAAGCTGAGATTTGAGAGGAGCCCAGTACAACAAGGACCGGAGTTACTCCTTGTAAGTACCTACATTACTCTTGGAAAAAAACAAGAGGCAACACCTTTCTGCATGGCTTCCATCATAAGAAAATAAACAGTCAACTCTTATCTTGCCCTCCTAATCAGAAGTACCACCGAACTTCGAAATGATCAAGCACAAATTGAATTCGTCTGCAAGATTCTCACATACAAGTAGCTAGAAGAAAGAAATATGGTTACAACCAATTTCTTTCATACTCCCCATCTCCTCTCAACTGCGACAGCACACTCTAAGTACTTCAAGGACATATGAAAAAGCGCGGTTACTTTTGAACGTGTACATTTCAAGAGTAAATGATGCATTCTTGAAGCAAAAAACTGTCATTTGGCCAATGGGTGGCATGCACAAATTAACATCCATGTAGTAAGCGGATACTTCTTCCTTCAGTAACAAAGAACTGTTATTACAAACAATTTCGTTCGACACCGTCTCTGATATGACAGCGCAATCTGGCTCATAAATTACCCCATTAAAACAAAACTTTTCTTCATAGGAGATTAAACCACTCTATGATTCATCCGTACCAGTATCTTTTCTGAAGTCATACTCCTGTATGAGGTTCAAATTATCTACCAGCTGATGATAGGCCTCACATCCAGCGCACTGCATCCACGAGCGATTGACTGAGCATTAAAATCTGGGACGAAAGTCAGTATAGTCAACAAATATGACTGTCTCTCCAACACACTGGCTGACGAGAAAATAACTAGCGGAGTGAACGGTGTTAGGCGAGACTAATGAAGCACTAAGAAGAGAGATGCTTCGGGGCCGGTTGCTAATTTTCTGATCATATTTAAAAACAAGGATAAGGTAAGACTACCTGTACGAAAACCGTGCCACGTTTGTAAGCCTCGGGATTGATAAGCCGCTGAGTTCGTGTATTACACACGTTGCAGGTGAACTCAACTAACATCCGTCTTCTAGGCAAATTCAGGTCAATTTGGACATCCTGATAGAAAACCACAAACGTTTGACATGAATATCTGTGATCCGTATGACAAAGCTCACAGCGAACATACATCATCCGACTCAAATAATCGGTATGCGTCCACCGCAATCAGAGAAAAAAGTTTCGTCAAAAGAAGAAGGAAACATCACAAACCTGGAAAAAAGGCTGATCAGCTCTTAACTCCAGGCTTTCTTCTTCTTCATTATAGTCTCCACCGGATGAGGTCGAGAGTTCAATAGACGAGGCTTCTCCTTCAGTAGGCACTGCAAGATTCAGGTACTCACATAGCTAAAACAAGTGAAGTAAAAAACTGTCTGACAAAATCTGTGCAAGTCCGACCATAGTAACCTGATCCACTGAAACTTTGCCCAGAATGGTTGAATTTGTGGACCAGTACCAACAATTCACAATTCGCTTGAGTCTTTCTTTGACTCAGGACGGAGTGTATGTCAACCGTACCACCAATGCTTAAGGAAACCTACTTTCGGATATGCACCTGCATTGCTTCCTCTTCCCCAACAATTCAAGACCGCGGTGAACTGAACCTGGAAATACTGCTACACTTGAGTGCCTGCCCACAATAACAGATAATCGATGAGAGACTTCATTCTTGTTCCGATGTGCATCATCGTTACAGGCTCGAAATCAAAAGCTTGCAAGTAACAAGTCCCACAACAAGTCTAAGCAAGTCTTTTCCTCAGCCAGAGAGGTTGAGTGACAAAGTCAGAATCCCGATATTGAACTAGGTCAATAGCACGGTGAACAACGATCAGCGAGATTCAGAGTTATCAAGTTCAAGCTTCACTTCTCGCTTGACACTGAGATTCAGTCGGTACTGTTGCTTGATATTTTTCTCAATAACATGAAATCACTTGATGGCGCGTGCCACTACCACTTCTTTCCAGTAGCAGGAAGTGCTTGGGCACAAATATGTCCATCCAATATAAGGCATCATGAGGAAACTTCACACTGAGACCTAACATTGTGAACAGGCCACATACAGAGCCAGATATGACGTTCGAACTGTGTACAGCCCACACGGAAGCCCTACAGATTCAACCATAATTACTGTGCGCACCTTGTATGAAGGGAGTACTGTACAGGGAATGACGTGCGACGAGTGTGGGAACTACAAAACCCCAGGGTATGGTTCTCTCCATGAATTCTAGTGATGCTAATAACGAAACACCCAAGACTAAGACATCTCCCGAGATTACTTACAGCACACAGGGGATCGACGTGAAAACAAAACTTTTAATGGACTTAACCAAACCAGTAAATAGAGGAATGTGTGAGCGATGTTGTCTCCATTTCACGAAAACTTGAATGGAGTTTTACGGGTGTTTAAGGAATATTAAATAGTTAACATCCTCTCGATCGTGTTTCAGAGATTACGTCGAACATGCGGATGAAAGGACGATGTACAATTAACAATATTGACACTGGCGAGACCTGGGTTCGGTAAACAAAACGAGAATCGTAGGTTTTCGTCCATTCTGTTGATGAAATCCAGAAAATATATCACTAAATCCAAACAAAAAGTAGCAACACCTCTAACTGACATACATTTTGGGAAATCTCGTGGTATTTGTCGTTTAGAGACCTTCTCCGCAGTCACAACGGACCCTCGTCTACGTAATGTGTGAGATGCAATGTTCTCGACACATGTTTTCACATGCCATCTGCACCTAAATTGTTACTCATTAGGGGTCACTGCTGCACTTTCCCCAGCCAAACCTTCAACCAACTTCAGCAAGCTGATTATCTCGCTATAACTGCAAGTCTTCTGCTCAGCCCTTACTGCTAAGTATCCGAAAACAAGAAATTCAAGAAAAGTGTCGATCCGGTGTAACTAAAAAAAAATAAAAATGACATCTCCCCACTTAATATTACTTCATACAGTAGTCCTCATGGCTCATTTAAAGTCTTCGAGACAGTTAGATGGTGATAGCGATTGCTTCCCTTACAATTCGTCAGTTTGGATTCTATATGTTACCACTTATATTTCCAACCAGCGGGGAGCCTTGTTTGATGAATACAGGCCTTTCTGAGGTCAAGTCCTACTGAGATGTTCGAGAAAAGCCCGAGTGCATCCCCGGAGACCAACTGAGCTGGAGGTTCTTTACTGTGGAGCATGCTGACGGGCAGCATCGCCAGAATTAGAAAGTGGCTCTACGAGAATGTAAAAGTTTGTATTAAAAAAGAAGGCGATCTACGCGAATTATATCACAGGACGTGAGTTCAAAGAATACCTGGTGAATGAAAGCGCAGCAACCGAGAATGCTGCATTTCTACTCCGCTCTCCAGAGAAAGATGAGGACACGGTGAGTCGCATTCCCGATGCCGGTACGACGAAACCTTGATGGCGTGATGGAACCGCACGAAGCACATTTTTTTCACAACGTACACTCTGAATCACTCCCTTTCCTGACTGCAATTGGGAAGAAGTGAGCCGACCGAATCAGAATGAAGCCTCTAGCGTGGTACACAAGTAGCAAAACCATTCTAAAGAGGCTGAAACCGCCGGTGAATTATGACTACATCGTCAGCTCATGAGAGGTTAATGAAATCGCCTACCAGTCCTACACCGGCAATGTGCTTGTCGAAGGCCCGCGGCAGGTGCAACAGTTCCCTGCTCATCTTGACAGAGACGGCTAAAACAGAATACTAATATGCTCCTCGACCTTCCTCCCACCTTCAATGCCCAGCACCTCGAGAAAAACTGTCGACAAAAGACTAGACGTTTTTTATTGCTCCGACAAAGCGCTGGAAAAAATCAATACAAAGATTATTGTCCCGGCCCTTCGAACTTACAATTTTATTCCAAAATCTCAACCTCTCGCCCTGGCAAAAAGCCATGAAAAACAGCAGCATACACACGGCACCCAGGACTACGGAACCTACACAGAAACGAGGGGACATATACATTTTGACTACCACCAATCTCGCCTCCACATATACCTTCGATTCCAATCCAAGCCCACGAGAGAAAGGGGCGGCACCGGCCAACAGTTCCCTCAACCACAGATTCCCACACAACATCCACCTCCGCTTGCGGGATTCAATTCCTGTTGCGATTTTTTCTTGCGGCTTTCGTCGGGCGACATTAACTACTTGCACGGTGACATGGATTCGGGCTCTAACCCTCGGGCGCCATCACCCAATCATTGTTTCCATGCAACCGCTGCTGCTGCTGCTGACCAGGGCCAGCCTGCCGGGCAGTCTCTGGGTCCGGTCAGTCCGGCGCGGTCCGGTCGCTCACGAGATAAAACGAGCAAGCGGGGAAAACCACATCTCCGTCGCTCACGAGAGAAAACGAGCAAGCGGGGAAAACCACATCTCCGTCGGCTTTGGAGGACGCCCCCAAAACTGCGGCCGGTGAATTCTTAATGTCTGACCCGTCATTCCCACCTGGCCTAACCACGCCACTCCGCCGCACGGTCAAGTGTCCGATCGCGGTGGCCCGTCCGCTTATCCGTGCACCATCTCATTCCCTCTCATGCTATCATGCCCATCAATCATGTCGACGACGCATCATGCATGGTATACGGTTCCCCTTTCGCAGTGCAGTGCAGTACAGTACGTCCTGTCCTGTAAGCCCACGTAATCGAACTGCGTGTGGTGGCACTCGTTCTCTCGAAGTACCCTTGCCCCGTCGCAACGATTTTCCTACGAGGTTCGAGACTTTAATCTTACTTTAGGGCTGCTGCCTGCCCTGGTCACATTATCGGCCTCGGGTCAATATATATGTTCACCTTGCCCAATGTCGGGACTGGAGGTAACCCTGGGTACGGTTTAACCCGTCTCAATTTTCCTGGGATCCGAGAAGATAAGCCATATCCATTTCGTCACCGAGACTAATGTATATTTCATTAATTGTCTAGAGTGTTTGTGCGGGCTGCGAGTACCTTGGATGTGTTTTATGTTAGAATGAAATATTCGCCAAATCATTTTGCTTCTTGATCCTTGATCTAGCAATGTGTACTCTAAAATGATGTAACGCAAAGACTTGATTTGATGCACTTTGACGGTGGATTGTGACTTGTGTATGGAGGAATTGTCACCTAACTTATGGTGTATTAGTAGCCTCTGCAAGGTAACGTAATAGATTACTAGGTAATGCATGGGCCTTTAACTTTGCGTTACTTGCACCATTACTATCTACTTTTACCTTATTGTAATTTACCAGATTATCTGGTACACATTTTCTATGTGTATCACGATTGTGATATACTAGTACATTACGGTTAGAGGTAGACCTCGGCAAGGTAAGTTAAAAGGTTACTGGGTAATGCATGGGCCTTTAACTTACCCGCACCACTACTTTCTACTTTTATCTTTACCTAATGGTAATTTACCCGTTTATCCGATACACATTCTCTATGTGTACACAATATTGTGATTTACCAGTACATTACGGTTAGAGGAGCAGCCTTGACTCCGAACGTGGGATTGATACGACCTGCTTATCTTTGGCCGATGTAGTATTTTAACTATGTGTTTAGAGAATCAACTTATCAGGACTTCAAGTGGACAGTAGTGGAACCTGGACTTGTTCGATGCTGTTTATTATCTTGAAACTCACCTCTTTGTGTCTTGACAGGATTGGGACAAAGCCTTGCATGCAATCATAGATTGCACCTTGAGTTTGATCACCATAGATACGAAAAGAACTATGTTCGCGTCCAAAGATGTTTTGATCTTTGGGAATTCTCTCCAAGTGTGAAAAGTCAACTAAACATTACTCACAGAGTATGCTCTGCTACTCAACACTGGGAGCATACTTGCTTCACACTTCGACGAGCCGTGCAATGAACTCTGTGGCAAACTTTTGCATTGGTAAAGTGTTACCCGGTAATTACTTGGGAATCCATTAAGCTTTATTTTTACTATATTTTGCCTTTACCTTTTAACTGTACCTTTTACCGATTTATCGTATAGTACTAAAATGTTTATTTACCTTGCCGAGGCCTATGTGTTAGATATGTTTTTGGAGAATGAGACAATGCCATTGAAAACTCTACATACAATGACGAGGTCGATGTCTTCTTCATGCTCACAACGAAAGCGGATTTACACGTGTCCGACATACTGTTGTGGTGGAAACAACACTGCAATCGTTTCCTAACCTTATCCATGATGTCCATGGATACAAGGTTCTTATGTGGCATCTAAATCGACATTTTTGGAGATTGGTGGGTTTGTTAGTCGAGATCACACAAAATTATAGAACTAAAATATCGAGATAAAATTGAAAAGTTGGTACCCTTTATTCCTATAGCAAACTTCTCAAAAATGATAAAACTTGGACTTTGTCACTTTTTCTCCAAAAAATTTGAATTCACTGGTTAACCTATTGATTAAGTAGTTAATTAACAAATTTAGCTTCTTTTTTTAATTCATTAATGGTACCGTGCCCAAACCTAATACTACTTCTGTATCTTGGATTTCAGCGTGGCTCCAACCCAGCTTGAGTACGACGTAATGTACTATCTGATCATGTTAAGGTTCCGCTTAGTTCCACCACCGTATAACTAGTTGCAAATCTTGAACTAGATATATACGCGACGACCGAATTAACTTTTTGGATGTTTTCACTAGGCGACATGAAACGTCAGTCGAGCTACATCTCCAACGGCCCAAAGCTTACATACCAAGAATGTGGATATAGCGCTGTACCATGAAGTATAGTGTTGTGTTTGGATTATTCTTACCTGCAATTTCTGCTTGAGGAACGACAAAATAGTGGTCACTGATTAGTTGCTTGAGATCCCAGGAAGGTACTTTATGTAATCCCGTCGTTTCAACAGTTGGTATGTTCCAGGCCCGGTACCGATGTTTGTAGCAAAGCTGAATTCCAATTCTCTTACACTCCAAAATAAATCATTTGTCCAGTTTTATGATCTGTTGTTTGTAAAACACAATGGGAAATATATTCACATACATATATATCGTTTGTGATTCTATGGAGTGCCTAGACCATATTGACCATTTGGTTTTATCACGTATGATTAGATGAGGTTTTTCATCCTTTTTGTTCTTTTAGTTTTTATTCTTTTTAGGTTTGATGTGAACAAGTTACATATTCTACACGGCGGTAATGGTACGGAGTAGGGTCAGTAGAAAGGCGAGTCTTATGACTTCAAGAGAGTGTGACATGAAACAATTTCTCGTCCACGTGTGTTCCTCCATAAAACAAATTTCGATGACAGCGATACCTTCCAACCCTTTTGTCATCTTGCCTCTTACTGGGATGGTCAAGGTCAGGTTAACCAACTTGATACGCACTCACTGCCTGATAAGGGGCTACATATCCCAAGCACACTTATACAATCCTAGTCCGATTGCCCGGGCTGAGCAGGTTATTGATATTAGCTAGAGGTCGACCCGATCCGCTCTTTTTAGAACATGTGCTCTTTGCGGATCAACGAAAGTCGAGATGCATCATATCCGTTATGTCAAAGACGTTAAGGCCAGGATCCGCTACGTCACTTGCGCTTATTCTGAGTGGAAGGGCGCCTTGAAACGGAAGCGTTTCAATAAATAGCTAAAACAATAGCTAATCCTATAGTAGCTTCAGCAGCAGCAATGGCTATAATAAAAATAGAAAAAATTTCTCCTTTAATTTGTGAGCTATCTAAAAAATTAGAAAAAGCTACTAAATTAATATTAACAGCATTTTAAATTAATTCAAGACACATCAACGCTCTTACCATATTTCGACTTAACGTTGAACCCGATGGAACTGCCAAAGTACGAAGAACAAAATTATTAGCCTCGTGCAAGTAGAAACGACGGGACATTAGCGCAGTAATCACATACTAAAACCGTAACTAGGGACGGTTTCGTCTGTCAGTCATTATGTAAGTCTGTCAGCTTGTCCATCTGCTTTCCAATGGCACATGAGAAGAATGTGAGCTACAGCTCGGTACTCATTTTGTGCGAAGCGAATCTAGAATTAAGCTCGGCCGTGGATTGCAATTCGGTCGGAGCCGATATCGACTGAATCCAAACATGTCATTTCCTCATGTAGACGGTCAAATCGGCAGTGTCGAGGAAACTTGCCCGAAAGATGGTCGAACAAAAACCGAGTCGCATTCCAGCGTTCCATGTTCGAACGACTCGGTCCACTCCAAATCACATCGTTCATCCCTTGCATCCCACGTGGATATACTTGCTTTGTTGTTGTGGGCAGGGACCAGAATCGCGATGAATCAATCACTCACGAACTGCTTGGGGCGGGGAGGTGTCCGATTGATCCTTCCATGCGCGATTCATTTCATGTCAGTTCGCTTCACACGAGGCCACCTCATCCTTCGCGAAAGCTTTACTCTCTCGAACTCTCCCTCCGATACCACCACCACGACTTTTCCTTTTGTGAGACCTACGATTTACGTTACCGGACGACTTGCATCTCACAAAAATCTGCGTCACGACAGTCGACCTAGATATTATTCTCTTGTAGTCCTTTCTCTGGCTAGGAGCGCACCGGAATGTGAATCTCGTGTCTCGGCCAGCATAGGGACGGAATTTGCAACTGCCAGGCGCCGAGCCGAGCCGAGCTGAACCCGAGCGGACCGAGCCGTAACTCTACATTGCAATTTGATTCGTTAAGTGTATCCCGGGACCTGACTGAGTGAATCATGTCATTCTCCGGTAACTCTTTCGTTATCTATCCTTGCATTTGCCTGTTGACCGTCCACATTTGTAGTCGGCATGAAGCGCAAGTTGGCGGTCATCTGAAGAGCCGACGGAGCACGTTGCTGATGTTGGGTTCACATGCACTTCTGAATCTCCGGTCGGCAAGGTTGGAAAGCAATCAATGTTTATTTGTAGAGTTAAAATTTCCATGTTAAGCAAAGGTGTATCAAACTATGGGTAATTTTCCCCCCGGAATTCTTTCCTACATAACTATTACGCACATAGTGTATATCAATTATCAAGTGGGACAGACTAGAGCCACACCCACACCCGCTACATACAAACAACTGATTGCGCGTCAAAGCACGCCTCCCCTCAAACCCAACTGCTAAGCCGAGGTCGTCCGCGAGGCAGAGGAGAGCGTAGTCGAGAGGCTTCGAGGGGCGCGGGGCCGCTGCGGCCGTCGCTGTCTCCCGCGTTGATGCCGCTTGTATCGGTTGTATCGTTGACGCCAGTGCTGCTGTTCTATTGATCTATTTCGACTGCCATGCCGCTTCAACTCCCTTCGGCAGCTTTGATCGAGTCAACTTACACGGACGGGTGTGGCCGTAGCAAAAACGGGTGTGGCCCTAGTCTGGCCCTTATCAAGTGGATACCAAACTAGCATACATTAATCAAGGCTAAGTAGTGGACTCCAATTGGAATTTAAATTGTGATTTCTGACCATCGTAGTAAATTTCATGAATTTTTTTTCCTGCATACATGCTAATCATATCAATCTGGATAGAATTTGAAAGACTACCTAGTCTTGTTTTTTGTAAGACTAGGTAGTATGAAATATTTTATGATCTCATATCAGATATTGGTTTGGATAAGTTTTAAAAAATGAAACCTAATGTTAGTGATATATATTTCAAATGCAACATGAAATAACATATTCAAGCTAAATCTTTTACGTGTATCACAAAAAGATCCAATACAGCAAATTTTTGATCAAATTTACCGTTTCTTTTGATCATTTTCCGAAAAATAGAAAATAGAATTTAAATAAATATTAATTCATATTTTTTTGAAATAATTCAACAAAATTTTGAACAAGTATTAAAATTCAATTTTCATACCATCATAAATAATTATATGATTTCATTTAATATATTTTTAACATGATATCAAATAAGTTAATTTCAATAACATAAATTTCATTCAAAAAAATTTTGATATTTTTATTCCTTTATAAATTATATTCTGAAAAAATATGCACAAACTATTGATTTTGATATAGATTATATTAAATTTCAGTTTCAATTTTGTCCACTTACATGTATTATTCTCCTATACTATTTTATCACTTCATAAATCCAATCTGTAAAACTTACAAAGAATCATGTATTAAGGATAATTTTTTTCTCAACCAAGATTTTATATTGAAAGCATAAATATAAGGTAATCAAGTCGAAGTTTGTAAATACATTGAGATCGACTTCCATGCATTTCTAATTAGGGATTTTATTGACTTCTTCTTTCATGTATAGTAGTTTGTCTCAAAATAGTTATTATTTATTTCACAAAATTTCTCTTGGATGATATTTTGTTGTTTTATGGTTCTTGATAATGATATATCATTATCAAGAATTATTTTTTATTTTTTATAATCAAAAGATATTCAATCTTTGTAGCCTGATGGATGTGTCTTTCCACTTCACCCAAACCGACTATGATTGTTTTCCAGTTGAACCATATTTGATACTTTACAACATAATATAGTTCAACATTACATACAATTGCAATAAGTGCTCCATAAATGTGAAAATAATAAATCATATGTAGAGCAGGAAAAAAAAAACCAAGATGCATCATGCGAACAATAACCGGTAACTGCACTCTAAACATCATCATCGTAGCTTCTTGTGATGGGATTCTGTCTACTTGCAAAGGCTAAAATGATCATCTAAGGCGTCTACTTGAAGATCAAATTGATCCCAAGGCCATCAAATTGCAATCCAAATTCAACTTCAAGAGTAGTATCTTAGAGAAACTCCGATAGCCGTCAGAACGATATATAACGTGTTGGCTCCAAGAAATGAACAAAAAAACACCAGTCAATAGTATGATTAAAGATGTATGAGACTTTAAGTAACGTGCGATTGATCGAAGATTTTTTGTAGTGCTAAAATAAGACCCCCTGACTTAACTTAACGGAACATTAATAAATTATGAATCGAGCTCCATTTACATTCTGCGTATCACGTTATAGGAAGCATCAAGTAACTGACAAGTTTTATTCAGGATTTTGCGATCTTTGCCTTATTTCTCTCTGTAGTTGGTATGTTTAAAACTTTGTCAAATGTAAATTGTCTACAGCCTCATTATACTTATATATGGATATATGGGGACTTATGCGTGCAAGCTCTTCTCCTACACAGCAGCTGTATCGGAGGTTTGAAGTAACAAAGGCCGTGGCCGCAGCTGTCAGCTTACCAATATCTCTTGGTCTATTGATTCCTGAGGATCAGGGCCAGATGTACATGTATATATTCGCCGATACCACGGAATCCTTCGGGACAGACTCTTCCGCTGCTGGATGTGACCAAACATGTGGAGGCATGGACCGAACTCGTCCCTGTCAGAGAACATCTGTGTAGCTCTGGCCGTGAGAGATGTCACAAGCCAAGAGCGGATTTGAAAGCGCGTCCTGTCGCCTTCGACTTTATGCTTGTTCGGTCGAATTTCCCGATTTATACGAAACAGTTTCCACCGTCCTGCGCGGCACCGAATTTATCCGTACCATACACGCGTCAGGACAGAGTCCTATCGTCGTAACAACCCCGATTATCCACGCAAGCTACATAGTACCATTATAGAGCAAAAACATTTCCCCATTCCTTAATTGTGGTTGGAATGAAAGAGGAAGCTCTCCGCTACCGAGCAACTGGTTCGTGACATTTTACACACAACCGTCGAGTATTTTCAGCCTCATTAGTGGCCCTAATTTTGTTTGGCAGTTCACACTTATTGTGTTTCACGTCTCTCTCATACTTCCCAATTTAATTCAAGGAATTATTGAGGTTTCCATATGAACCGAGTGGGACGAGGCACATTTTATTGTGTTTCATGTTTCTCTCGCACTCTCCAATTTAATTTAAGGAAACACTTCCAAATGGGTTTCCAAATGGGTTTCCACATGTCCTCGAATCAAATTTCCGAATGGATCGAATGGGACGGGACACATCAACCGACAGAATAGGACGGGAGCGAACGTAGCATCCCTAAAGTGGACTCTTATCCGCCACCGAATTCCAGAGAGGAGATATCCGCCGTACAGACAGACAGTTCACTGAGGATGAAAGAGTACAATCTTCACGGAGGATGGAAAGACTGACAGCGGCGTTCCTGCATGGCAATGTCACCGTTCTCATCCGGACCTAGTCGGGATTCAGCCGCAGACAAGTTGACGTTGGAGAGTAAACGACCTGTGACCGGAAGGCCACTTCACCTACTACGGCGGCATAATCGACCCTGTTTACACGAAGATAATCACGAACCTTCTTCGAGTCGCCCTCGTGTTCGAAAAGATCCGTCGCCCCAGAAGAACGAAACTTCAGATAAGACATACAGAGAGACAGAGACAGGGAGGGGAGAATTAGGCATGCGGACCATGGCAACGACGTCGAACCCCAGGCGCTATCTTCCACGACTGTTTCAACAACCACGTAGAGAGAGAGAGAGAGGGCTCAGCACAGTTCGACCATGGCAACTACGTCGAATCTCAGGTGCTTTCTTCCACGACTGTTTCAACAACCACGTAGATAGATAAATAGATATATAAATAGAGAGAGAAAAGGCTCAGCAGAGTTCGACCATGGCAACTACGTCGAATCTCAGGCGCTATCTTCCACGACTGTTTTAACAACCACGTAGGTAGAGAGAAAGAGAGAAGGCTCAGCAGAGTTCGACCTGCTGAAACGGAGGGGAATCGCATCGTCCAGTCACTCGCGAGCAGCGTGGTACAGTCGACAGACGGGAGAACCGAAGGCAGGCGGTGAGCGTAAGGAGGATGTCAGTCCCTACCACGACCACGGTGCACGGTGGGTGCGGTCGTGGTGGTGGCACCCACCGACTCGCGCACCGGGCGGGCGGGCGGGAGGCAGGGCAAAGCAGGGCCAGGGAAGGATTCCTGGCGAGAGAGCGCGGGGAGGGGAGGCAGGGGAGCGCAGGAGGTGGAGAGGCGATCGAGGCGCAGAGAGAGAGAGAGAGCACGAGGAGGAGTCGGACATAGCTGATCTTGCTCGCATTACCGGCGAGTTCATTATCTATCTGTAGACAGGTGTGGCGATCTGGAGGAGATCGGGTGCAAAGATTGGCAGGAAAATTCGCAGGGCCCGTTGCTATTAAGTCTGGGCAAGTGGGCGAGGGATTTCGTCTTTGTCGTGTTTGACGCGGGGCGGAGAAAAATAAAATCTTGCGACGCTCTGAACAGGGGCTTTCGATGGTCAATCGGCTTCAGAATCTGGAGCACAGAGTCGACACGAGCAAGAACGCAAGCGGAACACCCTGTTTCACGGCGCACATGCACGCCTGAAGAAGGGTAAACAAAAACTGTCTGCCTCCGGGTCTGTGTCTTCTCGGACGCGCAATTCTTGATCAGGGCGACCGGCAGCGTTTACCGCCCTCATCCGGCAAGATCTGGCAGAAATCGCATCGTTCGGTCGATGCGAGTGGGCTTCCGACCGAGCGAAGTTCCAGGCACGAGTATGGTATTAGATACCGTGCCGTCTGGTGGAAATTAATGAGTGCAGCAGCCAACTGGTGACCGGCACGCAGAGAGACGAAGAGCGTGAGTTGCTGGTCCCGAGCAGGCACACTGGTGAGCACCACGAAGAGATGAGTCTCTGCCTGCGCTGCTTCTTGGCTTTTCTTCACCTCGGGACGAGCAGTTGATGACATGAAAATTGTGCGACGAGACAAACCCCGTGTAAGGACACCGCGGGACGCTTGAATTTCGTGGACGCCTCGTGTGATCTTTTGTTGTTGAAAAAGATCCTTCTGTAGAGCTCGGAGAGGATTCCGCGTCTCCCAGGCTACGTTTCTCACTGCCAGCCGGTGTGTGCCCGGATCAAGTAGCCGACCTCAGTGCGGTCCAGCTTGTGAGTCCGGCCGCAGAAAAATGGTGCTTCTTTTCCCTTTCCGATATCATGGGTTTCAACCCGAGAGGAAGGAGCTGGCGCACCTTTACACCGAGGATGTTACCAATTTTTTCTCGACGCTCTCCAAAGGTCTGGACAACCTCGAGAAGGCTGTCAGTTCGGATGGCTTGTCCTTTTCATTCTTGGGGATGGCCATAGATCTTTTGAGGTCTACTCACTCAGGAGCTCTTCTTGTGACAGAGAAGTTGAGGCTTCCTGCAAGTTGCAAAGGCGAAGAGTGGCTGAATGAGTACATGGACGAGACGGTGAAACTGCTGGATGTTTGCAACGTGCTGAAAGTCGGGGTTTCTGGCTTGGAGCACTATCAAAATCTGGTGGACGTGGCCGTCCGAGGGCTGGAAGCGGCCATAATGTTCAGGCATCAGGGCCCACGAGCTATGCATGCCCTGAACGCTTGCAAGCAAGAAATGGCTCGGATTGAGAACGAGCATAAGATTTTGATGGAACACAAGATCGAATCCGAAGGGAGGCTCACTGTTAACAACCTCGGCGACAAGCATGTGGAGAACAAGTTTGTGAAGTGGAATGGATTCTGGGGTGTCCTCTTTGCTATGAAGATTACGAGCTCTTACATTTGTCGATTACTTCTCTCCGCCATAGTCTATGCGGGGCCGAATCCGTCCTTGAATTTTGAGACTGTGGCCGTGAGGGTACCGTGGACAAATTCTCTCGTGAGATTGCAACAACGTGTGAACGATGAGGTTTCAAAGACCCGCAACGTGAGGAAGTGTACGACAATGCTGTCACATGAAATGGAGTTTGTGGAAACAACGTTGGCAGAGGTGCGATCACATATCCCAACTAGCCTGAGGGGACCAACACTTCCTCTTCCGAACACTGAAGGTCTAGAGAAAATTAGGCAACGTGTTTCGGCTCTGAAACAGCTTCTGCAAAAGTTCCAGACTGGAGTTGAGGCCATCGATTGGCACGTCAATGACCTATTTGACGAAATAGTAGAAGGACGCAACAAGCTCCTGAATATTGTCAACAGTTCTTCGAGGTAGATAGACAGTTCGAGTGTAGTATAGAGTGGGCACGTACTGTGCTGGGAATTAGAGCCTTAAGGATGGAAGGAGCGTAAGTTTCATGATGCAATTCTTGTCAAGCAAACCTTACCAACACCCCATCCAATAGCAAGCAAATGATACAGGAGCTTGAACAATGGTCTACTAAACAGAGTTCAAAGTTTTGTCAGATGAACCCTTCGGATGAGGAACTCTTAAGTAAAGCGGTCTAGCTAGACATCGGCTTCGGTAATATCTGATTTCTCAGATTTTTGGACCAAGGTACTGTTTTCCTAGCAAGGAGATTCTTCCATGGAAATTTAATCAAAGTTCTTACAGTATGCCCATGGGTAGTCTTTAGAAGATGAGGCCTGTATAGTAGAAGGTGTATAGGTGTCAAAGATGAGACAACAGCGTTTGCAAGGATAAACTACGCGCGCTTGTGGACACCAGGAAATGCAAATGGGATTTGTTTACTTGTTCCATGCAGTGCTGAGCGTCGTATTCCTTAGTTATAGCTGCAACACTCTTACGAAGGTAGTACTTCGAGTAGCAGCACAAGACTACAGGATATATGAAAGATGTCACTCATGGGTCATCTTTTGTATAGCAACCCATTACTTGTCAGTTGGGAATTGCTGGTGTAACATGTATATACTGGTACAAGGTACCCTATCAGTGTACAATCTAAGCATTGGAGTTGGTCTTGTTGATCCATTGTTGTGCAAGATGTTCATTTCCAACTACGCGCTTCTGAAGGGTACGAGGTGCCCGTTCAAATAGCTTGTTTTTTACAGGCCAGCTTAAACAGTAATCACGTTGTTGTCTTAGTCACATGGGAAAAGTAGATACTCGTTTGTTCTTCATTTTTGTCAGCAAAGTCTTTTGTGATCAGGATTGAAGCTGGAAAGTATAAGGTTAGATGGATCGTCATGGGCCTAATTGAATTCATAACCTTCGAATTGAAATCTCCACTGTAATATTATCAAATCGGATGCATCTAGTCATTCTATCGTGATGTCATTCATCTCATTCTTCATATAGTATATATACAGACACACCCTTCTTTTCTCTCTTCTTGTCAACTACTAAAATTGACGCTGGCAAGCATTAGTTCAATAAATTTTCATGAGTACTAGCTGACCTCTTTGCATTTGAACTTGAAGACTGTGAACAACACGATAAGTTCGGAATTCGCATCGAAGTTCAGCTCGGATCGTGATCCAAAGTGGTGAATGTAGTAAGTCTCGTGTTTTTTCATGGTTTACTATCACAGGCGAAAGAAGCTAGAACCAATAGTTGAGTGGAGTGCAATTCTGTTGGCTCTCGAGAGTATGTCCAATTGAACTTGAAGATTGCGAACTACATGATAAGTTTGGAGTTTGCATCGAAGTTCAGCTCGAATCGTGATCCAAAGTGGTGAATGTGCTAAGTGCCGTGTTCTTCCATGGTTTACTATCACAGTTGAAGAAAGCTAGAACCAACAGTCGAGTTGATGCAATTTTTTGGATCTCGAGAGTATGTCGAATTGAACTTGAAGATTGTGAATTACATGACAAGTTCGGAGTTCCCATCGAAGCGCACCTCGGATCGTGACTCAAAGTGGTGAATGTAATAAGTATCATGTTTTTTCATGGTTTATTATCACAGTTGAAAGAAGCTAGAACCAATAGTTGAGTCGAGTACATTATTTTTGCTCCCGAGAGTAAGCCGAATTGATTTACATTTTGAATCCTTTGACTTGTTGCGCTTGACTCGTTGACTGTGCGGTGGACCCTTCGCGCGAAGTGTCGAGACTTTCGAACATAGGTGTGCAGCTTTTGAAAGCTTTTGTCTCTCAAACCCCGTAGAAAACTTGGCTGTATTGTGAGCTGTTCTGTGAAAACTTTCGCACCTTGCTCAGATGCAGGTTCCTTTTCTAGATTCAAAATGTTACAAGCACCTCTCGTTCAATCGGTCTCGTGATATTATTATCCAAATTAGCTAAAGGTGCAGTGGTTTGCGTGGATCTTGCTGCTTCTTAAGCTCTCACAGATGGAGAAGCGAAAACCCAATCTGTATGGAATGCTGCAACGGCTTAGCACTGATTACCACTGCAAGCAACAAGTTCTAACTCGAGTAACATAAATTGAAAGTTTTTGAACTTGTTCAACAGTGAAAAGCACGTGGGCGTCCAATATGATTCTCATGTTGGCCTACTCTTGCTAGAAGCTCGTAGATGGCGTCTGATCGTCCTCTAAAGCGGAAACATCGATCCATGACGGTTGTTCTCAGTATTTCGGCTGGGTGCCTCGCCAGCTTTCAATTTCTCAAGGTTGAGAATGAGGATGTCTCAAGCTTGGTTACTTCCGTTATCCTTGACTAATTCCTTCGGCCTAGATGCTTGCGTCGTCAATTCGCATTATCTCGGAGTGACGAGTACACAAGAGTACAAACGAGTTGGACCGTGGACGTTGTATGAGTAGTCTAGATTGCCGTCGCATCTGCACACGCTGTCATAAGAGGATTAGGAGTCATCCTTCTGTCTAAGAGAAATCCTTCTTGGTAGCATGCCCATTGGAAGCAAATACCTGCTAGAACTTAAGCATAACCAGAGTTATCGGTCGATGTTGATTGTCCTCGTAGAAACGGTATTGAAATCGCAGCTCAGGTGTGAGTGTACCCTTTAGATCAAGCGGCGGATCCAGTAGACTCGTTCAGATCATTTGCAATCGTTCGAGACTATTGATACGCACTAGAGTCCCCATATCATGGAGTCGTTAAATCAGGAGCTTCGAAGTCAGCAGAATCATTGGGTCATATCAGAAGTATTGTAGCACATACCTGTATAGCCTCAGTCTTTTTGGGCCACGGAGGTATGTAGACATGCCGCAAGGCATTCAGCGAAGAGCAATGTACAATCATGATCCTGCAATTTGACTACTGGACGGTAGTACGAACCGTATGTGCGCATTCTTCGTCGATACCTTGTTCACTTTCTACAACGATTGTCTTGGTTTTGACATAAGATACAAGACGTCTGTACTTGTAGATACTGCTTTGTTTATTTTAGCATTCGTAAGTACTGAGATGCGTGCCCCCACTGATATTATAACCGTTATGACGTTTGTTATGTTCCTTCTGGTTGGAATATATTCATTCCTTCATATTTGTACATAATACTGGTCGTAATAAGTGTTCATTCTGAATCACAGTTCTACCTACTTAGTCTTATAAATTCCCATGCAACCTTGCATGAATTACATGAAGCCAGTGTTTCTGTAGTACATATCTTGAGAAATATGCTTGTTCGTTAACGTTTACACATGTATCTTGCTTATCATCCGTTCAGAAAACTCAGGTACATATCAAGTACGTATCGTACGTACAAGTTCCCAACCCGATTGTAGCTGTTTGGAAGGATCACTCTGGCCTCAATTTGACATCAACGTGTAGCTCGTGTCTAGGGTTTAAGATCATGTGCTTAAGCTATAAGAACCTCCAGTTGTCTTTTGTACGAGTAGCCATGACATTGATATTCGGTTAACACCATGAATGTACTTCACAGCTGCTTTGGCCAAATTTTTTCTTTCCTGCAGAAATCCGACTCATCATACTAGGCTAACGGAGGGCAATTCCTTGACATGAGCGTTCATGCATATCCACGTTGTAGGACCTACGTGTGTTGTATGGCTAAGCCAGTTTGGGAATGTATACAATATTTCAGGATGATCAGAATCTGAAGAGTCCGGATACACACGCCAAAAAATTTTGCTAGCCAGCTTTCACATGTCAGTCAATGACGCATTCTGCTGACAATGTTTAAACATCTGTTTCTAGTAGCATGGTTCCAACAATTCTTGTCTCGCAATTGCCGGTATCCTTAGGTGTTTTTGTTTTTCATAGGCTTGTAGGTTAGTATATTCATTTATGTAAGTCCCCCTCGTTAAGAACATGATACCGAACGAGAGGTCTGGAAGAACAACGAACCTGCCTTTGAAGCGATTGTCATTGCTGATTGACATGTTCAGTAAGTTCGATGTCCACCTTCCTTTTTAGCGAATGCATCAGATCCCCAGTTTGGCTAGAGCTGATCGTAGACACTTGGAAATTCGGGATTTAGCACTGGAAACAAGCTCGAACTGTGTGTCGGCCACTATGTACTGCAAGGTCGACCTAAAGTTTCGACAATGTGTACTTATTGATTTGACCACGTAAACAGGACACGTAAGTATGCCACTCATCACTGTCATTTCAGGATCATTCCACTAAATTTCGTCTCGCATCGTCTAAGCAATTGACTTTATACAAGCCTAAACTGAGCCTGAAACTAGTCCGAGGAACTCCGCCAGCAGTCATTGATGTCTCCAGTTTTTTATGAATGGTAAATGTGTATATATATCTCCAATATCTTCTTAAGATGCGGACTTCTCTGGCACTTTCAACAGATTATGCTTCAACAGATCATGAAAAATTTGTCTCGAGAGTTGTGTCTCATACGATAATATTGCAGTAGACTGTAAAGCGATTATTAATCGATTCATCATCTTTTGAGACCAAGAAATAATATATTATATGTTTCCAACAAAGGGAATGTGGACATGTATGCCAAGAAAGTGCGTTTTGGATCATCCTCGAGAATCTGCTATTTTAATGTTCTTCACCAAGGTTCTTTCAGGAGGGGTGTCAACATTGCCAAGCCACGTCCAGTAGCTGCAAGTCAAACCATGACTCTGGACTGGTCATCTGCCAAGAGCAGCAGCCTAAACTTAGAAAAGTGTGGATTAAGTTCAACATCCATTGTTTTCGCTGCATTCAAGGTTTATCAGATTCCAATGTTCGAAGACTACCAGTCTCATTCAAGGCTGTCAATTTCTACAGTCTGGCTCGAAATAACTATCTACAGTTGACAGCAGCAAATTTTTTGGGTAAAAAAATATTCTCATTTGTTCTCATTCTCGATTGATCATACACACTGTTGGTCTCTCTCGGTATCAAATCACAATGTCCTTGATTCGATCGATCTCCACCACCCCTGAATCACACCAAACAGGGAGAGAGATCCGCTATGTGGAGCACTAAAGTCCTTGGGAATCTATTTCTACAGATGGGAGAAGAGCGGACTTCGATTCAAATGAAACCTCGTCATCACTCGGTGTACGGCGAAATGGGATACTTGTATGATGCAGTCGACAAGAAGAAGACCTGACATAAACTCTTGCGACACCTGCTCGGGAGCGAGCCACTGACAGCAACGAATTCAGTTTATGGATCGAGTCGAGTGACACCTAAACAATCTGATTTGACAGTGTGTCTAAAGAACAGCAGGACCCTTCGTGTGTACGTGTTGACGCATGGCTCCGATGCCACCCTACAGCACGCGCAAACGTGACGTCTGTGAACGACACCTGCGAATCAGATCTTTATTCGCCGACGCTCGTCTATCTGTCTCTCTCTCTGTGATGTGTTGTATGTGCGCCGAAGATGGGAGGGAGGGAGGCACAATTGAGAACCCAACGAACGGACCGAACCGAACGAATGAGGAGGAACAGGACCTTTCATCTGTCGGATGCAGCACATAGCATCACATCGTGCTCCACCCTTCAAAGAGTGCGCAAAGAAAGAATCGCCCAACTATTCGGCTTCCTACTCGACGTCAACCTTCCAAGAATGTGTGTGTATATCAAGACCGCGAGGAGGCCGACCCGATTCCCCCAAACTC